TCGAAGAGTTGGGTGAGGACATGATCAAATTTGTGGACCTCGAGCCATCGATTGCTGCTACTCCCCAAAGACGCTCCAACCCCTATGGTGGAGGGTCCGTAATCGGTACTCCGGACATGTCCTCGTCCGCACGGTCGAAGGGTCTCTGGAGCAATGGAGGAAGGTTCAGTGCGACGACTACACCCCTGCACCACCCTGCATATCAGTTTCAACAACAGCAACTTCAACGTCAGATGTCTGGCGGGGGAGCATCCAAGAGATATAGCGGAGGAAGCACCATATCTAGTGGCAGCATAGTCGACGATTACTTTGCCCGTTCCTTTTCGATGGAGCAGAACGGTAATGTTGCGGCCCCAGCTGCGCCCATTGGCCTGGGATTGACAGGGATCGATAGACCAGTCGAGCAGAGCTCGATGGAGCGATTCCTTTCTACTTCACCAATGAACACTCCACCGGCACCAACTCTAGGACCATCATCAACAACATCATCATCGTTCCCCTATAACTCGGGCCCAGCAGCTTCACCATTGCCATTCATCTCCTCACCGTCATACCATCAACAGCAATTCTACATGCGCTCGCCTCTCTCGACTCCTTCTTCTGCCACCTTCTTCCCAGCTGGAGTGATGATGGAGCCTAACCAGGGTTTCCACAGCCATCATCATCCTCAGCGATACCTGCACCATCGAAGCAGTCTTCAGAGTCTCCGTAGCAGCAGCAACGGCAGTGTCAGCAGTGGTCGACTCAGCCGTGCAGCCACAGTCACACCCACGCCCACACCAGCGACGCCTCCCCCACCCATGGGACCTTTGCCTCCGCTTCCCAAGAACCCGACGTGCACGTATCGTGAGCACACGAAGCAGAAGCTGCTTGATTTCAACAGGCGTCCAACCCATGCTCGAACCAACAGCCATGGGTTCGTGATTGAGAATGTAGGCCAGTTTTTGAAGAAGAAATCCTATAGCAAGGCCTTGACTCGAGATTATATGAGCCGAGGTCATCGCCGTAGGGGCTCTATGTAGAACAGACCAAAAATAAAAACAAAATCTATGAAAATAATAATAATAATAATAATATATATATATATATATATATGTGAAAAAAGTAATAACTGCGATGACAAATTCCGTAGAGGAATTTTTCTTTTTTTAAAAAAAAAAAAAAAAAAAAAAAAAAGAGAGAGAGACAGAGAGACTATAAATGAGAGCATATTCCAAATGGTATAGGAAAAATATAAAAAAAAAAAGTTACTAGCCTTCTCTCCTTCTCTCCTTCTCTTTCGGATGACCAAGGTGAGGTTAGTTTTTTTTTTTTTTATTATTTTTTTTATTCATAAGGTTCAAGGAATGTGGAGAAGGATAGGACGCGCGTCCCTTTCCCGATCGAATTCTGTCTCTCTCTCTCTCTCTCTCTCTCTTTGGGTGTTGTGAATGAGTCACGTGGGAGTGAGCAGTAAAAAAAAAAAAAAAAAAAAAAAAAAAAAATGAATTTGATGAATCACGCGGGAATACGGAAAAAAAAAAAAATAAATAAAATATTAAAAGGGCATGTTTTGTCATTCATTTTATTTTGTTTTTTCTCATTCACAACACTCCATTTCAAACAAGAATATTCTTTATACACATTATTATCCACCATGTGCTACCCTGTCAAGTGCGGAAAGTGCCAAAAGACCGTATGATCTCTCTTTCTTTCTTTCTTTGTTTTGTTTTTTTTTTTTTTGTTTTCTATCCAGTCCTTTCAAAAATATATACATGATCGCAGCGCAGGAAGTTTAGGATGCTAATACTCCACTACATGTATATGTATTTATATCAATCGATCAACTGACATTTTTTATTTTATTTTTTTCCATGTTTCTTTATAGACCTGGGCAGGTTGTGGTCAGGTATAATAATGACGATCTTTTTTTTGAAGACATGAATGTCGAAGCAAAAGGATTGATTCTAACTATTATTATTATTCTTATTCTTATGATTATGATTATGATTATGATTATGATTATTCCTCCTAAATTCTGCTATATTATCATATCCAGCACGTCGATCAAGGTAAATAACATACATATATTTTACCTTGTAATGCTTCCTATACACATGGGGAAAAAAATAAAAACAAAATGCTAATATAAAAATTATCATTGTCAACAATTATTGTATAATCGTCGACTTAGTTTTCAAGAACGTTCCTGAGAGTCAACGTTGCGAGTGCCCCCGTGAAGGTTCTTCATGCGTGATTATGCAAAATCCCAACACCAAAGCTTTCATGCTTGATGTCATCCCTTCTGAAGTCTAATCGAATTTTTATCATCTTTTTTACTTTTTTTATTTTTTTATTTTATTTATTTTTTTTATTTCTGATATTCGACATCTTGATCAAACGATGACCATTGACCCAAAAACAACACCAAAAAAACAAAAAAAAAAAAAAAAAATATCATAATCATAATCATAATCATAATAATAATAATAATAATAATAATTTCCCCTCATAACAACAATAACAACAGGCGCTGCTCCAGTGCAGACACAAAAGTCATCCAATGTGGAAGGATCCACCCATTAACTAAAAAGAAAAAAAAATACTTTGACTCCCTTTTATTTCATAACAAGCAGAGTGCTTTTTAAAAATAAATTGAAAAAAAAAAAAAAAAAAAAAAAAAATTGTTCATAAACATTGTTATACATTCACAAAGATGTTAGGGGACTAAGTTTGTGTTTCCTTGAATGACCAATGTTTTTTTTTTTTTTTTTGTTCATTTGGCACATTCAGTACACAGCAAGAATGTGAATAAATAAATAAATAATAATAAAGCACAGCAAAAAAGCATTACAACCTTTCTCACTTTTCTCACGATCATTTACGCCTTCTTGCCCTTTTGTTTGTTTGTTTGATTGTTTTCTTTATATACAAATGATACAATGGAGTAAAAAGGAAGAGAGAAAAGGAGGAGGGGTGAATAGTTCCTTTTCCTAGTCTTGGAGATATTTTTCATAAAAATAATAACAAGGGTAAATATTGTTTAAAAAAAAAAAACAACAACAACAAAGAGAAAGAAAGCCTTCCTTCCTTCCTTCCTTTCTTTCTTTCTTTCTTTCTACCATCCTTTCTTGATGTTGATAGGTGGTGGTTTAACTTCAATTCTTCTACTTTCCATCCACTTTTCATCCTCATCCTGTAGCGATCTGCACAAATCCTTTGTTACCCATCTGTAATATGATAGCAATACAAAACAAAAAAAAAAAAAAGAAAAAAACAAACAAACAAAAGTTAGAGATTCATTCAGTATAAATATAAACAACTGTAGATTAAATAAAATATAAAGCTGGATATACATGTAATGATCTCTATGACTTACAAGATAATGTGATTATCATCACTGCAGGAGGCCATCAGGCCTGATGTCGTTGGGTGGAAAGCAGTGCAGCCCGAATGCTTAGAATGCTCTTCCAACACCGTGATCAGCTCACCCGTTTCCACATCCCAGAAGTGAATCTTGCCATTCTCAGATCCTGCACACAACATCTCATAGTGGGGTCCACCAAATGTGGGCATGATTTTGAACATCTCATTGATGTAAGAGTCTGCCTCTAATGCCCTCATAAATGTCAATGACGCGAAATCATAGATGAGAATCTGAGCAGGTCGACAAAGATCCATATTAGCCTAAGGAAAGAAGGTAGGAAAAAAAAAAAAAAAAAAAAAAAAAAAAAAGATCAATAAATGTGGTCCTTGATAAAGTGTATTTCTATCAAAGAAGAAACAAATGAAAAAGAAATAAGCTCACCTTGGTGGAAATAGAAAGGTATGCTCCATTTGGTGACAAGGTAATGCCTACCGGTCTCTCCGTCATTGTATCAATGGGCCTATTTTGAAGGACAATCCATGATCATAACGATCAAGAGGTCAGATCTCGATTTCTCTTTGCTCCATATCCATCCATAACGTTCAAATAAAAAAAATATTAAAAAAAGAAAGAAAGAAAGAAAAAGAAAAGGATGCAAGTTCATACTTTGACTCTTTGCCTTCAAATGAATAGAGTTCCACTTTGTTATCATTCGTGACAATCACCGCTTCGTTTCGTCCTGGAACCATACACATTATATCCACACATTTGCCCTCTCCCATATCAACCTCTTGCACAACCTCGCCTTTAAGGTTCTATAATACAATAATAAAAAAAAAAAAAAAAAAAAAAAAAAAAAAAGATAAAAGAAATGTTTACACATTAGAATCATTTTCTTGTTTTTTCTTTTTTCTTTTTTCTTTTTTTGGTCCTTCTCAGAGAACGGATGAAGGAAATAAGGATAAAAAAATTACCCAAATATAGAGCAAGCCATCGGGAGTTGCAGTAATGAAACGTTCAGAGTCTGTCATCCAACCAATGCTATTGACTGGGACATCACGCGGTCCATCTTGATGCTTTCGTGTCAGAATGATCTCGCCAGCCTAATACACAATACAGAAGCATCACCGAATGAGGTCAAAAGTATATTCAACAAGTAAACACAGAAAGTAAGTTAGTTGAACAAAGTTTTTCTTTTTTTTTTTTTTTGTAAGAATAGGTTACTCCCAGATATTCACGCGTTTGTCAATCAATGGAGCTCTTTTTAACCATTAAAACATGTGAAACGCCTTCTTACAAAAAAAAAAAAAAAAAAACTCAGCGCGCATAGGTGACACCTTTGTACCCTTTTCAATGCTCACACGCTCAAACACACATGAACACTCAACATAAGAAAAAAAAGGAAAAAAAAAAAAAAAAAAAAAAGAAAAAAAAAAAGATACACTAGGCCTTACCACAATATCAATCAAATTGAATTCAGTTTGGTATCCTGGTCTACCGTGGTCGAATCCGAGGTTTACGAGCAAATATTTACTATCAGGCGACCACTGCACATGAGTGATGGTCCGTGAGAATTGGAATGCCTTGTAGACCGAAGGTTCGGGCGTCTTTAAATAAATAAAAAAAATAAAAATAAAAAAAGAATAGAAAAAGAGGAAAAAGAGAATAAGTAAACATAATAGGTTTATAGACACTCTAAATGAACATGAGTTATTGTTGTTTGTTTTGTCGATTTCAACAAACAAAAGCCCAACATCCACAGTGCTCTCTATTCCTGTCCGGACCCTTGACCCCTGACCATGACAACATTGACCCTTTTTTTTTCTTTTTTTCTTTTACTTTATGCGCCTCTTCGCCTTCTCTTTCATTTTTCAGGTGTTTTGTCCCACCATAGTCTGTTATGCATGACAACAGCCACGGCGACAATGCAAATTCTGCGGATCAAATGATATGTATGGAGTCCCTGGCGACCTTTTTTTTTTTTTTTTTTTTTTTTTTTCTTTACTCTCCCAAGAAACAAAAAAAAAGAAAAGAAAAGACAAAGCTGAGTATCAAAAGTTTTCCTTTCTAAACCCAAAAGAATTGAAGTGGGGCTAATATTTTTCATGCAGACAACAACACCTTTCAGATGACTCAAATCCCACTTTTTTTGTTCAACAGGCCCTTTCAATCCAGCCCAAATAAAAAAATAAAAAAAATAAAAAAAAAAAACTGCTATTGTTCTTGTTTAGCTCATGCAGAGCTATGGAGTAAATAGTCGCATCAGAAGGAATCACTTTTTTTTACCCAACCAATTTTTTGCCCAGCTTCTTTGTATTGATATAGATGTTGATGTGAACAAAGGCATGGTCACACACTCTTGTCTCCTTTTTAACTGGAGTCATAAAGAAAGGGGGTTTTGTGTATAGTCACTTAAAGAAAGCTTTTTGTACATGAACTACATCGGGAATAAGTATGGATTACCGATTTGTCACCAACAAATGGGCAAAATAAATAATGGAGCTTCGTATCCTAGGAAGTACCCAAACCCCCCCTTTTTTTTTCTTTTTGCCAAGTCTAGACAAGGCAATCCCAGGACTAACGAAGGATATATTTGTAGCTGTAAGTGTAAAAAGCTCAAAAAATGAAAAGTGCGGGAAAGATGGCGTATGTACAACCAAGAGAAGAGGGTGGCGACCATTGCATCTTGATCACACAAGCGCCTTTTTTTTTTTTGTGTTCCACTTTTCCTCCTACTCAAAACTAGAGCTCTGTCTTTCTTTCTTTCCTGGTCAAGAATGTAAAAAGCTCCCCTTATAAAGAATACAGTTACAATGATAAAGAAGAAATTGAAGGGCCGACTGGAGTTCTACCTTCTCCTCCACAGTCGGATATGCAGGCTCAATGGCCCGTTCTCCTCTTTTCCTTTCCACCCTTTCATCTTTGGCGCCTTTTTTTTTTTTTTTTTTCTCTCATAGATATCTTTTTTATATATGTTTGAACCAGAGTTGTGTGGGGAATCAAATCAAATCCGGTTGAGAAGGTTCTTGTGAACATTCTCAAGGAATTAAGATGATGAGCAATGAAAGGGGGCAGGAAAGGGGGGGGAAAACAAAAGAAAAACAAAAAGAGATGCTGTGTAAAGTAGTTCCCTCTTTGTATCGGTGATAGACATTCCTTCCCTTTTATCCTTCATAAACAGCTCAACCATCAAAAGTTAAACATACATCTCAGAGTTTTAACCTGACCTTTGGCGTGTTAAAGCCCATGGTTTTTTAGTGTACAACCCAAAACTCGTGCATCGTTACAAAACGAAACACAAGTCCAGGGTGGTGTGAGAGAGAGTGTATAAGCATTCAACATGGGTCAAGACGTCTTAATTCACAAACTTGCTGTACATGTACTCCCACCAAATGGCTTTTTTTTTTTTTTTTTTTTTTTTTCCCAACTTTTTAAAGAAGAAGAAGAAGAAGAAGAAGAAGAATAAAGAATAAAATAAAAAATAAAAAAAAATAAAAAAAAAAAAAAAAAGGGTTGTGGTTCAGTTGTGCTATTTGTTGTTTGTTTTGTAACAGAAGTTTATTGTTGTGTTCTGTATCACCATCACCATCAAAGGACCATCAACGAATAAACCCTCGCCCCCCTCTTTTCATCCGTATCTCTCTGGCCCTGACATGCAATCACAATTTGATCCAACCCTATTCTTTATTGTTTGTTTTTCCCTTCCTGCCCCGAGACCAATTATATACCTCCAATCAACATTCCAACTTCTCTGGCGGATAATGCCATGTGTTACCCAGCTTAAAGACACACCAATCCCAATGAATAAAAAAAAAAAATAAAAAAAAAAAAAAAAAAGAAACAGGGGGATAATACGACTAAAGAAAAAAAAAAGTATGACCATGCATATGCGATATACAGTTGGATCAAAATAAATTGCTGCAAGCCCAATGCAATGCCATTTGGAAAATCAAGGCGAGTGAATGAAAGAGAAAGAGAAAGAGAAAGAGAAAGGGAGAGGCGGAAGCATTGGGAGCATACAAAGCGTATGCGCCACATACAGTTATGCAACAGAAATTGTTGTTTGTTTGTTTGTTTGATTGTTGTTACTATAGCTGTTTCTTCATTGTATTTCTTTTTTTCTTGGGGAACTTACCACCATATCCTTCCATACCACAATCGAATGATCTAAACCAGTCGATGCCATGTACTGACCTGAGGGTGCAAAGTGCAAGAACCAGCACTCGTCCAAATGGTAGCTCAGCCGTACACGCACTTCTGAAGGGATATGTTCTTTAAGAACGGTCAGACGATTGCAATCATAAAGCCTTTCTAGACTGATGCTATCGCGGTGTGGATGATGACCAAAGAGTGCCTGCTTGTGCTGATCCTCTTGAGCAGCCACACCGGTACCTGTCGTGCCTGAGCTACAGATGCTATTGCTTCGCGCACTGGAGCAACAGTTGCAGGATGGCATCGATGATGCTGCAAGTGCCATGTCGTACTCATTAGAGGGTGTCATCGTACTCACATCTGTGTCTCTACATTCATCATCCTCCTTCAAAGTACCAAAGTATGATCCATGTGGTTCGCTGAGGGTGGGCGATAGAGGAGAGAGCAGTGCCTGGGAGACTCTGCGACTATGGGAGGCATTGCTCCCGTAGCTCGTATAGGATCCCGAACCAAGGCTAGACACGCTAGCGATGCTCAATGGTCTTGCGCCGGCAGAGGAACTGCCATTGAGAGGGTTGTAAAGTCTGCATTGTGGATGATGCTGGGGCGAGATATGGGAGTGACCGAGGAGATTGGCGAGTGTATGATCAAGATCATCATTGTCGTCCTGATCGAGCAATGAGGGATCGGCAACGGAGGCATATGCGACGGAATTTGGGTTGATTTTGGGGTATCTGTGAGAGGAAGAGGAAGTATTGCTTGAGGACGATAGCTTCCGAGGAGGAGGAGGAAGGGAGGGTGACATTGTATTTGTTCGTTTGTAAAAGAGGAGAGTATATATGTATAAATAAAAAAAAAAAAAAAAAGAAAAAAAAAAAAAAGAAAGAGAAAGCAAAAGTAATTGTAGTAGTAGGTGATAGTAGCTGTTGTAGTGGTCGTTTTTCGTTGTAGTAAAAAGAAAGTTGATTGAGAGATGTAATATGGAGCAAGATAAATGACAAAGGAAGAAGAGGAAGAGGAAGAGGAAGAGGAAGAAGAGGAAGAAAGAACAGAATGAGAATCAGATGTAGAATGAGAGGAATGAGAAGAATCAGAATGAGAAGAAGAAGAAGAAGAAGAAGAAGAAGAAGAAGAAGAAGAAGAAGAAGAAGAAGAGGGAAGGAAAAGAAGGATGGATTGGATGCAGACAAAATATGCAAACAAACAACATAAAATAAAATAAAATAAAATAAAATAAAATAAAATAAAATAAAAAAGAATTCTGAGTGATAAGCATTCATTATTAATCTAATCATTTTGTTTTTCTAATATGAGTAAGAAGTGAAAGACCATTTTTGCATGAAAAAAAAAAAAAAAAAAAAAAAAAAAAAGACCCGCGCTTAGGACACTCACCACTTTTGGGATGCAACTTTTTTTTTTTTTTTTTTTTTTTTAAGGTTATTGTCACAAGACAGATTTTTTTTTTATCCATTCATTCGCGACCTTGAATTTCAAGAAAAGGCCATTTTGGGACAATCTACTGATCCTCCCCTCACTCTCATTCCCCATGTTTCTGTCTTATTCTCGAGACCATTCCTTTTTCTTGTTAACTTGAGTTAGGGCCCGATCTTGGATCTTGGATCTTAGACCTTGAATCTCTCTGATCTTCTCTTCGCAGTTTAACAGGGTTCAGAAAAAAAAAAAAAAAAAAAAAATTGGAAAAAAAAAAATTGCCCAATTATAGCAATTGGCCATAAACAACAACGTTCGCTCCCCCTCTGTTATGAAATGTATAGATGTATGTTATTTGAAATGATGAAATATTATACTGCCCTCACCCTCTGTGTCTCTCTGTAGTATACATGATATAGAATATCCATTGGAATAAACAAAAGGACAATCAGGGTGATCATGCATCAGGGTTCAATAATGAATAGTGTTTCCTTCTTCATACCTCTCCCCCCCCCTTTTTCTTTTTTTCTCAAAATGATCATGTTCATGGAACCATCGAAAGGAATTCAAAGGTATTATACATATATTATGTTTTAATATAATTGTAGTCTTTTCTTTTTCTTTTTCTTTTTTTTTTTTTTTTTTTTTTTTTCCTATTTTGTTGCCGACTCAACACATGATTTAGAAAACTAGTTGGGCAGATTTCAATCGTTACCATCCTTCATACAACTATGGTATATGTGTTATAATTTATACTTCCACTAAAATCGTGACAATGTCTCGATTCAAAAATCTCACACAATGGCGCGCCTTATTTTCTTCCAAAGTAGACGCTAGGACAAAAATCTGAATTGCAATAGTAGGAGAAGCAGCCCCTCCCTCCGGTCGAACCCATTGCTTGAGTAACATATTGACAAGTAGAAAAAGAAAAAAAAAAAAAAAAAAAAAAAAAAAAAAGATTATGAAGATAAAGAGTCCCTGTTATCTTTCACATGAAAGAGAACCTTCTGGCCCTTTTTTTTTTTTTTTTTTTTTTTTTTTTTTATATTATATAACATGTTAAATTTTGTCCCCTCCCGTCATCATCATTTATTTTTGTGCATCGTTCATGCACGGACACAAAAAGCCCTGGTAACTCTCTCATTTATAAAGAAAAAAAAGAGTTTACGCGCGCCTTTTTTTATTTTTTTTTTTTTTTTTGACATTATCTAACCTGTAATTGGTTCGATAAAAAAGAACCCAGCACAAACTGGGGGGGGGAGGAGGAGGGAGATGGTGACGTTGCTGAGTTCACTTTTTCCAACCACTTCAAGTAATATAGATGTATTTATAATAAAACTGTGTAATATATATATATATATATATATATACTGTATATACAAATGTACTTGTACACATGGCACAATTGCCGTGTATAAAAAAAAATTGGAATTGAATTTATATATGTACATATCCCTATATTGCCCTCTTTGTTCATTTGTTGGCCTGAGCGCTGAAGACAAAATCTTTCCTTGACGCCTCAATGCTTTATTTACATTTGGGCGGGGCGGGCAGAAACTGGCCTTTATCCCCTCCTCCCCCCCCCCAGTCCTTCAATCCTCCTCCTACACTTACCCTCGTTGTTAGCCAAGCAAAGCAGCTGACATCACAATCTTCTCTTCAACTTTTCCCCTCAGGCTCCTCCTTCTCCTTCTCCTCCTCAACCCCTCAACAATTGCATCATATCCTATATTTCCTCATTACCACATTTGCCACCATTACGACATTCTTCTGCGGATCCCTTTACAATTTTCCTACGCCTTATTCAACAGCATATCCATCTAATATGCCAGCTCATGTACCTACCCACCCAAATGTGCTACACAAATATGCCTTATTCATGCTATCCTATTCAGCACCCGTAGTCACCCCCCCTCCCCCCCCCTCCAAGCTTTTTCGCATTGTCTACCATCTCCCAAGATACCACTTTAGCTTTACTGTGTGTATGTTTTACAGCAGTAGCCTATACCTCAAAGTGTAGGACATTACTCCTAATCAATCTAGTCAACGCTTCAATGTCCATGCATCACACAAGGGGCCCTTGCCGTCCGAGCGAACAATTGCAAAAATGAAAAAAAAAAAAAAAAAAAAAAAAAAAAAAAGGTGGTCCTTCCTTCTATCCAATCAACTTTGCACCGTGTAATAAATAAATTCGGTGGGGTGCACCACTCTGAAACATTTTACCGTTGATGTGGGTTTCTGATTTGATAGACCACCGGGCGTACCTGAGCTCTGGTGCATGGTAAATATCATTCATTGATTTCGAACCATCATCCTATACCTCCCTTGCCTTCCTTCCCTTCCCTCCCATTGTCCATTAATTAACACACAAAGAAATAGATGATCTATATTCATCCAAGCGCATTGGCGTCGAAAAAAAAAAAAAAAAAAAAAAAAAAAAAAAAAAGAGAGATTAGACAGCTAAGACTACAAGATCTTCATGCAATCTTCAAACAAGGCACTAAAAAAGTCTGGCATATGCTCATTCATCTATCCCTGATATTATTACTTTCCTTCTTTCTTTTTTCTATTATTACTACTATTTTCAATACTTGAAATACATTTTTTTCTTTTTTCTTTTTTTTTTTTTTTTTTATGCTTTCTTTGGAGGTGGAAATGGCCAATGCCGCGTTGGAATGGTCCCTTGTTGGAGCAGGACTTCCCACTCATACAATGTCGCATCAGTGACCACATCCTTTAAAGTCAGTCTCTGACGACGCTGGAGTTGTTGGAGAGGCTGATGACTTTGTGATGGGACTTGTTTATGATAACTCATGATACTGACGCCAGACAGATTGATCACATTGACTATTGTCTTCTTTCTGGAAGAAGTCATGCCCTGATTGGGGCGTTCCACCCTTCCTGGCGATGGTGGCCTTGAAGGAGATGATGATGATACTGATCCATCGTCAGCATTAAGGATCCTCGGACTTGAGGACCTATTAATCACTTTGTTGTTAATGCCAACTCTGCTAGTGCTTGACCCAAATAGTCCCTGGTGATTGGTTCTTGCAGTAGATGTGGGTGAGAGCAGCTCTTCCGATATATCCAAGGATGAAGATAGAGAGGCCACCCTATCCATAGCGGATGAATGTAAAGGCTCATGTCGTTTATCCTGAAGATCGTAATCGCTTTCAACAATCGGCACTCCCAATGGCGAGATGGTATTGGATTTGTTATTGTTGGTCGACTGCAGAAGAACAGAAACCTGCTGATTCATTGACTGCTGTCGCTGTTGCCTATGCTGTTTAGGTGAGAGTAAAGGTGAATTGGCGGAAGAGGATGAAAGTGAAGAGGGGGTTGAAGAGATGGGTATAATAACGTCCCCATGGTCGGTGCCTACGCCACTAATATTGTTTGCCATTGCACTGGATCCATTTTTCACAGCCTCGCGAATATAAGCGCTGGTCCGGTCTAGAGCCGCAATGGCACTTGGGTGAAAACGAAATAATGGGAAAATATGAGGCATGTCTTCATGGATATCAATCCTGCATGGTTGCTGTTGCTGCTCTAAACGAGAAGCCATCAATATACACTCGTTTACAAATCTCTCTGCTGATCCGCAAGTCTAAGATAAAATAAAGTAAAAAAAAAAAAAAAAAAAAAATTAGCTTTCCACTATCCAGATACTTAAGATCAAGAAGCCGATCAAGAAAAATAAGAAAAAACTTACGATGAAGATACTGGGGATGCCCTTAAAATTAGTCTCGAACAATGGACTGACATACTTTAAGCGCAAGCACGAGTCTGGGCAATAGACTTGAGCTCGCTGCCTGACCAATGGCTCATCGGCCGTTACAAGTTCCCAATCGTCATCGTCATCGTCGTCATTATCTTGACCCCTTTCAAGTCCGTGCTCTTCATCACTGTTGTATTCATTATTATCATGGCAGTCTTTCTGCTCTTCGAATTCAAACATCTTATCAACTGCCACCGAGTGGATATGTGTGAAGTTTTCATAAGGGATACAGTCCGTCAAAGCGTTCTCTTTGAAGGAAGGTAGTGACTGAGTTAGGTCTAGCCAAGGGGACCACGTCGCAATTGTGAGTGGTTGTGGTAACTCTCCATAGTCCCGCAACAACAGACTGAGACTCAATGCCAACCCTCCGCCAGCAGAGTCACCCATGAACACAATCTGATTCGGTTGGAAACAAGGCTCATTACTCAGTCCAGTCATCTCTGACGAGTCGTTGGTGGCCCTGGTCCTGTTATTTGAGAAAGTTTCAGAGATGGGTTGTTCAAGCAGCCACATGTAACAAGATAATGCATCAATTAATGCTGCTGGGAATTCATGTTGAGGAGCAAGTCTATAGTTAACCTATTTAGACGTCCAATTAAAATATTTTGCCATTTTAGTGTAAATAAAAAAGTAAAAAGGAAAAAAAAAAAGAAAAAAGAACCAAAACCATGAGCTAAAAGGACTTACAATCAAAATGCGAATATTTTTGCCCAGTCGTTTGACGAGCGGGCCAATCAATACACGGTGCTCCTCCTTTGATCCAGTGTAGTATCCACCTCCATGAAAATAAAGTACCGCTGCAACGTTATCACTGCCACCGCTACTGTCGTCGATGTGTGTTTCATCTGGCCCGATGTATTCCAACCACTCAGCATCAAGGCCTTCTGCAAATTGATCCTCTGGTTGATGGTGATGGCTAGAGTAGAACCTGTTTCTATTTCTGGCTTCCTGCCCCATATCATTATTATCTTGATCCCCATCATCTATGGAGCACACACTCGTCAATGCCGTATCATATCCTCTCTGAATCTCAACGGAAAGTGAATTTTCATCCTGCTGCCCCTGAATGTGATTAGAATTCTTTCCTTTTTTCAATTTCCTTTTGTTGAATTCTGGCACTAACGCTCGTTCCTCCTCTGATAGACAGTTGTAGACGATGGACTCTGCTCTAGAGCGATAAGGGAATGCTGGTATCTTCACCTTATTGACCCGAATACCTGCTGGAGCTGTCATAAATGGAATCGACCTAGATCGTGCTTGACAAGCTTCAATTGTCAAATGCTCTGCATGCTGAAGGTAAACCTTAAGAAATGAAAGCGCCAGCGCCAATCGGACAGACCAAGTTCTGAGAGAGAGAGAGAGAGAGAGAGACAAATAAAGAGTTGTGAGCTAAATTATCCCTCTTGTGATTGATCAATACAATAAAATCTTTTTGTGATTTTTGCTCTTATTTTCCATTCATCGTACTTGCGCATGCCTCGTCCTTTGCCCTTGTCACCCGCCTGGCTAGTGCGGATCCCCAGTAACCAGAATACAAATGAAGGAAGCCATGTCATGGCCACAATCAACAAGAATGGCACTTGGGCGATAAAAAACAAGCTCGATTGCAGATCCAGTGGCTCAGGCTCATTAGGGAACAACCAAGCTGAGATACGGTTATAAATGATGCTGATCACATGCCACACCCAGCCTAGTACACGAACGATTTGTCTAACGACAAAATTCCGCTGCTGCTGCTGCTGCCGCTGACGATGATCGTTGGTGACACTTTTCCTACCAAGAGTCCTTCTTTCCTTAGCAGTAGACGTAATTGTATTGGAGAGGAGAGGCTGTTGATCTGTGCGCAAGGCTCGAGTATTGTCCTCATCCTCATCCTCATCCTCGGTGTTACTATAGTTGCTATTCTCTAGAGAATACATTGTCTGATACTTGGACCTAGGCGAAGTAGGGGTTGATCCAGCAGATGCTAGCGAGATGTTGTCCAGGACAACCATTCTTGGAACGATGATATGCTTTTCTTTGCGTATTCCAACGGATGAAGAGAAAGGAAGGGAGAGTAAAAAAGGGGGATAAAAAGAAAGAAAGAAAAAAAAAAAAAAAAAAAAAAAAAAAGAAAGAGTGAAGAGTGGGAGAGCGACAGAGATGAAAGTTCGGCAGGGGGAAGTAAAAAAAGATGAAAACCTTATTGGTTAACCCTAAGAAAAAATTGTATTAATATTCCAACCAAGCCCGTGGCGAATAGAGAACACTTGTATGTATATAGTAAGCAAGGAGATACCACCCTCATCATCACCATCATAATCGTCATCATCATCACAAATATTATAGGGCTAAACAAGCAAGGAAAGGTGGGGTGATTTTTTTAAATCCTCCAGAAACAAGCGGAGAACATTTGATCTTCATATGTGTACAAGACATATGACAAACACAAACCGCACCGTTTTACTGGAACAGGCTTTTTTTTTTTTTTTTTTTTTTTGTAGACTTTATTAAGGGTATAAAATATTCTAATTTTCTATGCCAAAGCCCAGCGACTTCCATCGCCTCCAAAGCTCTCAACAATGAGCACAAAGCACCACTTCATAACAGCTGCTGCATACATTAGTAGCATCCAAGCGACTTGCACATAGAAATTTGATGCTATTGCTACTGAAAATGTTCGCTTCGAGTAAGTCTCACTGGTGTCCTTTTGGATTTCACTCTGATCGTCATCCAAAAGCTGTGCATCTTTCCATGCAGTCTGGAAGTAATTGACTGTTGCACTAGAAGCTTTTGTCTTCTTGTCTTCACCACTAACTCGCTCATCTCGTTTTTGTAGTCCTCGAAGAGCTTCAGCGCGTTTTAGAAATGAAGTCTCGGTTGGAACAGAGACAGAAGGAGCTATTGGATGACCTCGGGATGCTTCTATGGCCCTAATCCGATCGCAGACTTGCAGTGCACTGACCACACATCCTTCCAACAGGGGAATACCTGGGTATGCATAGCTTCCTACAAACCAGATGCGATCTGAAACAGGGACCTCCGGTGTATCTAGCGAGCCAATACCAACGTAATCCAAACAATCCTGCTCCTTCTCTCCTTTCCTTTTAGCTGCCATGATTTTAATGTGTGAATGGTTTTGATCAACCCAATGCGCTGTTTGTTGGTCCATCATACGTTGAAGCTCATCAACAGCCTTAGTTGAGACCGGGTTAACAACAGCACGCTCGAACCAAGTCGATGACAAGACTGTCTCGGGTCGAGGGAGGAAAATAGGATTGGTTGTCTGAAGAAACTTGGTTGCCCATCCTCGTTGCATTGCTGGATTAGTAGTGCTATTCATAATGTGTGTCGCCATCGCAGAGTTGTGACTAAGCGATGCTGTGGACGAAGCAGCCGTAGCAGTAGTGGTAGTGGATGCAACTATTGCCGATCCGATGTTGGTTGCAGATGGTAAAGGGGTAAAATGGGTGCGCACCTTTGAAGAGCTATTCCTACGACTTGCCGTGGGCCTAACCCTGCTATTGCTATTGAGCTGATTGTTGCAATTTAGGTGATTATGGTTAACCAGCGCCGATGGTTTTAATGAAAAGATGGTTGCTCGGGGCTCCTTGGCTTTCTTGGAGCGCATCTCCATCTCCAGCTCGAGATCTCTGGTGATTTTGTTCAACGGGGACGCCAAGACGTCGGCTTTGGATGATTTAGCAATATTCAACAACCGCCAATGTGCTTGATTCTTGGGCAAGAAGGACTTGTCTGTATGACACACGACTCGAGTCCGCTCATAGGGAAATTTGGCAAGTATTTTGATTTGATGAAAGAATGGAGAGGTTGGTTCGATCGACTCCAAGACTGCAGGGTCATAGATAGGAGGATCAGGGCCAAATGGTTGATCGCATTCAGACCGAGGATGCCTTGTAGGTGACTGACCAGCTAATGCGAACGCAGCTTGATTGGCTTGTGTGGCAAACACGACATGGTCAAACGATCTTGCAATGCCACGAGAATCGACCAGGATAACAGGTCCATTTGCCGGACCCTGCGTTTCGAGGCCTGAGGTAGATGTTCTGTTGCCTTTGACAACACGTTCGATCCTGGTGTTGAAATGGATTGTACCAATGTTCTTCGCCAACCTTTCGGCCACATCCTGGACTCCAGAAGAAACAAACTGCATCCGACCGAAAGGCATACATCTCGCTACATATTCAAGGACCGCACAAGCTGGATATTCCATCATTCGCTCAAAGCTACACGTGCAAACTGAAGCAAACAAGGGAACAAAGAACTCACAGAACTCTTGACTATATCCCCCTGCCTCTAAAAACTCGCGCAATGTGATCAATCGACCATTGCCCCATTCAATCGGATGTTTGCCGATATCCATCATCCGACCTTTAGCCAGAAACTCTTTGGAAATCATCAACATACGAAGATAGTCATATGCGATACGTACATATCCCGCGATGCGTCGTCCAAAAGGAAATGGATTGAGTAAGGAGAACCGCGGCAAATCCGGGAGAGTGATGGTTTGTGAACCGATCTTGTACGATCTGGAGGACAGATAAGGTTCCTGAACTTGAACGGCTTTGATTTTCTCTTTATCGTAATTATTACTATAGGTATCAGAAATTTCACAAGTCGCTCGTCTTGAGTCGAACTTGATATCAAAGCAGGACAAGGTATTGTCTGCATCTTGAAATTTGACACCGATGGATCGATAAAGACGTACTAGATTAGGGTAGTACTCTGATAAACGACAAAGAGTAAAAGAGTCAGAGCGTAAAATGTTAACAAAGACGACGTGGTGGTTACAGCAGTTATACGCACAGACATGGATGATGCAAAGCTGAAGATAGACGCGATTGTCTATTGTTTTGTGTACCTGGAAAAAAACTCCTCATAGGCACATCCATACGACCTTCGGCATGTTTTTGATTGGGGCTCTTGTGGGTCTCTGTCCCCGAGGCTTGGACACACTCTTGACATGGACATGGTACGGATAGAGAAGCAGCATCCATACCTATGTAGATCAATGAACATGGTAAATCATAGTATTAGTAGGTTCACATTATGTATGACGGAATGGTGACCGGATCGGGATTAGAAATTCATGCAATCAAGAATTGGAGGAAACAAAAAAAAAAAAAAAAAAAAAAAAAAAAAAAAAAGGAAAGGAAAGGAAGACATGTGTTTGTCGATTCGCCAATAAAGTTGAAACCAGAATGCTCTTCCCAATGATGACAAAAAAAAAAAAAGTGTAAGCAAAAGAAGAGCCACCTTTGACGATCACGCGTGTGTGCGCATGACAGGATTAAAAATAAGTACATGTCCGCATGATTTTATGCTGGTAAGAATACTGGGCATCCAACCTGGCATTGAAATTTCTTTTTTCTCTGGACTCTCGTTTCATGAGTGAAACTCATTGAGTTTTTTTTTTTTCTTACCAAATTTGTGTGCTTCTTCAAACACATGAACGTCAATAGCCGTATTGCCATGTCCGTTCTCAGTGTGCAATGAGGATAGGAGATGGGCGATAGTCAATCCAGCGAGACCTGATCCAACGACCGCTACTCTTAACTGCTTTGGCGTAGATGTGGATGAAACATGGCTTTGATGTGGTTGATCAGTGTGGTTGCGGCCCGCAACGTGGTCACGATCGATTGCTTGTGAATGAAGGGCAGTGTGCCCGTTGATGATGATAGTGGGTAATGCGGCCATAGGTAGGAGATCAATGTGTATATTTGTATTAGTCTAGATAAGCTTTGGTTGTCAAGAACCGGGTCCTTTTTAGATGGGAAAAAATTGGCAGAGGGTGTGTTTGTTGACTGGCGTGTGATTTCGTTGTTGCACCAGACTAGTAAGATTGGCAGGAGACTTTAAAAAATCAAGGCTTGTTGTCAAAGGAATGAAGTAAGCAAATGAATGAGTTGCATGAGCAAGCCTGCTTAAGGGATGAGAGAGAAAAAAAAAAAAAAAAAAAAAAAGAGAATGACTTTTTTATTTTTTTTTTTTTGAGCAGACATGCTCTCTTATGACAAACCTTTCTGTATTTTTGAATAGCATTTTGCAGGAACTGTGACACTGGCTTCTGTGTTGCACATGCAAAAGCAATTCGATTTTTATTATTGAAAACATTTCCTGTTGAAAAAAAAAAACGTGGAGGTTATGACATAAACATTCAAAGGAAAATGCTTTTGTATTCAATAATTCATGGGATAATGATCCGCTTTGCCTCCTGTTTTTGGGAGCACTTTGACTTTTCCTTTCAGGTTTAGAGAATCGAATCTTTTGAGCAGGTTGTAAAAAGACGATTAAAAATCTGCAGAAACAAAGAGGTCACAGAAGAGGTTCATTTCATTGCACGAGGGCAGTGCCCCTTGTCCTGTCACAGGGTCATTTGCAATTTAGTGTCATTTTTACTTCTTAGTCCATTTAGTACAAGAAGTGACTTTGATAAAGCCAACATGGGTTAGATCAGGTCCGTGATATTGGCACCAAGCCGAATAGACTATGTTAGTCTTGATTAGGGTCAGATGCGACTAAGCGAAAGAGAGGCGCGCAAACAACATTCTTGCTATTGCTTTATTATTTTTTTTTATTTTATTTCCTTTTTCTTTGCTGGCTGGCCCTCTTCCTCAACCAATGACCAAGATGGGTTAGTAAAGAGTCCAACAAATACAAGACAAGAATCATTGGAGTAACAAGACAGGTAATACATGAGTTTACATTAATTTGTTCTTTTGAATTGGTTTTCAACAAGAGAAGAGCTCCTCTGTCACATCCCTTTTCTTTCAAACAAAGCGGTTGCTGACAACCTGTTTGTTGCATTGTTTTGTCTCCTTCTTTCTCTCTTGAAGTCTCTCTCTCTCTCTCTCTCTCTCTCTCTCTCTTTTTTTTTTTTTTTTTTTTTTTTAAACATCTTGAATCTATTCTCATCAAAACATCCATTCTCTCATCTAAACACACAAAAACAAAAAAAGAAAGAAAGAAAGAAAGAAAGAAAATATCTCACTCCATCCCTTTTTTTTTTTTTTTTTCCTTTCGCATTTTTTTTTTTCTTCTTTTTTTTTCTTTATTCTTTTTCCTCTTCCTCCGCATTGCCTCTATTCCCGATCTTGAGATCATTACCTTGTTGTTCCTTTACATTGCTCTGTGACGCCGTCTACATGGAATGGTGTCAAAGTCTTTTGATTTGATTTGATTTGATTTGATTTTTTGATTTCGCAAGCAATTCTACCCTTACACCTGAATCGAACATTCCCCTTTTCATTTCATTTTCATCTATCCAATCGTCTATTGTGCCATCTATTTATTCACTGAACCCATTCCTTGGGCAAGGAAAAAAGAGAGGAAAAAAAAAAAAAAAAAACATTTTTAAAAAGAAAAGGACAAAAGCATTGAAACACGACAATTTCCACCCATCCTGAACATGTCGGCGTCTTTGGACCCCTCACAATCCAATAACTATCCTCAGCAGCAGGATAATAACAACAGTAACAGCATTAGTAATAACAACTTTGGTCGGCAGCAACATCAAGATCATCCTTTACAACCTTTTGGTAATCCAAATCAGAATCTGAATCAGAACAACTTAGGTCAGCCACCTCAGCAATATTACTACCAGGGTGATAAATATTCCCATCATTCTCGACCACCTCCTTCACAGCAACCGCAACCGCAGCAGCAACAACAGCAACAGCCACCACCACAACAGGGCTTTAACCGGAACACAGGTGGCCCATACTCCCAGCAACAGCCAATGCAACAGCAACAACAGCGGCCTGAAGATTATTACTCCATGAACTCTCAAGGAAATAAAAATCAGCAGCAACAGCAGCAGCAACAACCGCAACAACCGCAATACCAGCAGCCATATCAGCCGCAGTATCAGCAGTATCAACCACATCTACAACAGCAACAGCAGCAACCGCAACAACAACAGCAGCAGCGGCATCCTGGAATGAATAACTATCAGCAACAGCATCATCCACAACAACAACAGTATCATCAGCAACTGCAGGGTAGGGGAATTTTGCCTTCTCCATCAGTTTCATTGACATCAGATGAATATCTGATTCAGCGTGACTACAATAGTGGTGGAGAAGCTGCCCTGTCCGCGGGTTCCTCTACTGGGCAAAGTCAACAGGACCAAAGCGAGCAGGCCTCTACCACAACATCGGCTGCTTCTGGTTCTATCGAAGGATCATCATCGCCAAGATCAGAGAGCGAGTCAAGGTAAAATAAAAAAAAAAAAAAAACATTGTCAGTCTTTTATATGCCCAAACAAACACATTCTGTTATACCATTCCCTGATTCAAAAAGGAGCTTTAAATGAGTGGGAAAAACAGAATATACAAATGCATTTGGGCTTTTCAGGTTTTGTGTGCATGTGTGTGTGCGGATAAATGAAAATGTGATATCAGAATTCAGAGACGAATCAAGTAAAACCGTACTCACGCACTTGCCCTGTGCTGTGTCTTTTTTACTAGTTTACGATTCAAGGTGACATTGGATGCGCAAACTGCGGCAATGCAACACCAAGGCGATACTCCCGTTACCTATCTCAACAAGGGTACAGTAGGAAAAAAAAAAAAAAAAAAAAAAAAAAAACGACCCGAGGCATCTTCACACGTTTTATTTTTATCATTACATTCACATAATTCATAAATCGTCAAAAATGATATACGTTGTTGTATTCATGAAAAAAAAAAAATGCATATCTTTCCGACATGAACCTTTTTTTTTTTTTTTTTTTTTTTTTTTTTCCTTTCTTATTTCATTCATCTTAATAGGTCAATTTTATACCATCACGCTGCAGGACACAGAGGAGTATGATGGCGAAATCAATAGCGTAATCAAAGTTACGTTTCATGAGGAGCCACATCGGAAACTGGCGGCTCGATACTGGAGCTTCTGGTTGAGCCAACAACAAAATCCAAAGACAGCGCGAGCATTGGATATCGGTATGTTATGATAACAACTTGCATTAATTATAAATATAAAAATATTAGAAAGTTGAGCTTGAAGGGTTAATAAGATTAGGAGGAAAAAACAAAAAAAAAAAAAAAAAAAAAAGCTTTTTTCCGCGCTACTTTTTAACACTGTTTTTCTTTTTTCTTTCTTTTTTTTTTTTTTTTTGTTTTTTTTTTTTGTTTTTTCTATTTCTCTTCTTTTCTTTCTTTATATTTAGAAAAGGCATCGTCGACGGGGATGATGGAAGTTCAGTCCAAGACGTTTGATAGGATCTCTTTCAAATGGAATGGAAAGGCAGGAGCCAAATTGATGGTTCGATTCAATTGCCTCTCAACGGACTTTTCGCGCATCAAGGGTGTCAAGGGTATTCCTCTTCGAGTTCATATGGATACAGTACTTCCAGGAGGAAGTGTCAATAATAACAACAGTAGCCAGGGAGATCAAGAACACCAGATTGAACGTTCATATGCCAAGATTAAGCTTTTCAGAGACAAGGTAAGCATGTATTCATCATTATTTGTTCCATCAACTTTAAATTTGTTTTTTTTTTTTTTTTTTTTCAACAATTTTTTTTTTTTTTCCTTCTCTTTTCCTACTTTTTACCTTTCATTTTCTTTAACTGTTTAAATTTAGGGAGCGGAAAGAAAGAATAAGGATGACCATAAGCACTTGGAAAAGATGTGGGATAAGATGCGAGGCAAGAATGCAGATACCAATCCATTGTCTCAAGTCTTGGCACCTGTACAGAGCGTATCAGTCTTTTGGGAATGCCTGGATCATCAGGAGGACACTGGCGAGGATGAGACCTTGGACCTGTCTGAGACTTTAGCCCACGAGACCTTGGACTCTGAGGACGGCAGCCAGCACAATCCATCTTCCTCAGCAGGAGGTACGTATGGGGGGGTAGGAGGTAGTAATAGTAGTAGTAATGGTATTAGTACTACTGGTGCTAATCTCATCTTTAACAACAATGGGGTGAGCGCAGGGTCAGATTCTGTGAGTGGATTACTGACTCCAAGCGACGAGTCTGGTGGGTTGTCTTCATCTGGTGATTCAAATGCCTTGGTCCCAGCCTCTAGAAAGCGACGTCGACCCAATGATACTGGTGGCGGCGTACATAATATTTCGAACATGTTACCGATGGATCGTTGGAATCAATACGGAGGCGGCGCTGGCGGCGGTGCTGGCAATGACGGCCTGACATCGGATCAGTTACTGGACCGAGATCCGACCTATGTCCCTCAGATGCGCAAGAAGAAGCAGCCGGCATTGTGTCTTTACATCAAAATCGGAGGCGAATCTGTATACAGAGCCGTGTATCTAGAGCGATTGACATTGGCAGAGTTGACTCAAAAGCTATCGGAGAAGCTAGAGATTCAATCGTCGACGATCTCGGGTGTGTACCGCAAGACGACCAAGAAGGAGTTGCTGGTTCGGGTGGACGACTCGATGGTTGCACAGATGACCGATGAGCTGGACATGGTGGTTGAGTATGACTTTAATCAGTTGGATGGTAGCGTCAACTTGACACTTAAATACTAAGGCTAAGGAGGGCAAAATAATAATAATAATAAAAACAAAACTAACGAAAATATTCTGGAAAACCTCTTACAGCACACTACCGATGACCTGTCCAAAAAAAAAAAAAAAAGAAAAAAGAAAAAAAGAAAAAGAAAAAGAAAAAAAGAAAAAGAAAAAGAAAAAAGAAACGGCTCCCCTTTGAAGAGGAGACAAAACAGTATGGTACCATCAAAAATAAAATAAGCATAAAAATTTATATAAATATGTATTATTCCTTTTTCCTTTTTTTTTTTTATTATTATTATTATTATATCAAATGAGTGAGAGAGAGTTGACGATTTTTTCTTTCTTTCTTTTTTTTTTTTTTTTTTTAGCTTACTACCCTGACATTGAGCAACTCTTCCTTTTCAGATTCTGTGGCAGTTGTTGTAGGTGAGGGGAGGGGGAATGCTGGAGTCAAAGGCCTTGCTCGCTGATTCTTCTCTTTCAGATCCACATAGCTATAGCACGCACCTCCTACTAAGGTCATGATAATGCCCAGACCATTCAGGAGTCCAATCGTCGTATTGAATACTGTGACTGCGACTACAATTGACAGCACTTGTTTGACATTGGCTAAGCAGAGGTTAATCATGGTAAAGGATAAAAGTATATTAATATTAGCCATTAAAATAAAGTAAAATAAAATAAAATAACAATGTGTTATGTGTGTGGTATTGCATCTTTTTTTTTTCTTTTTTCTTTTTCATACCTGCAACAGTCATAGTCAAGGCACTGGTCTTCTTGTTGGCCGTGAATGAAACATAGTTAAGGAAGAAAGCAATGATCCCGTTTACCAACAATGCCAAGATCAGCTTATAACTCATCTGCGTCTGACAGAACGACACCACCTCATCCAGTTCGCCCTTCATCCATGAAAAGATGACAGTCTGCACAAATGCCAGGGGGCTCATCCTCAACAACAGATCCAATGGGTGAAGCTGTAGTCTCCCAACCTGGACCCGGTTCGTCACCACAGTCTTGGTCGCCGCCAATACAGTTCCCAAGACGGTTAAGAAGAAGCCCATTGCCGTAAAAGAATAATCGCCCACAGTCGCCATATAAACCCCCAAGAGTAGAGGTAGTAGTGAAAGATATGTCATGCCACTATACCGTTTTGAAAGGAATGCTACTGAGATGGCGATCGTAAAGACTGGCGTCATCGCACGTACAACTTGATGAAACGCAACTGACACCTCGTTCCTGATATTGCAATAGCAGTTGGAAAAAAAAAAATAAAAAAAAATAATAATAATACTTGATTAATAACTCTTTCTTTTCTTTTCTTTTCTTTTCCTAATATGAGATTAGAAACGAGGAAGGTAGTAAAAACAAAGATGGAAGAAAGAAATCCGGTCCTAAGATTGCTCCGGACAACATACTGGATTTTTCCATGGTGAAAAAAAAAAAAAAAAAAAAAAAAAAAAATACAGGGCTTTGGGAAATGCATTGATTCCCTTTTTTGATCAAGAACAAAGAATGTTTTGTAAACTTGAATGTATCCAAAAATAAAAAAAAAAAGGATCCAGTAAAAGTCCCAAAATGCGGGTACTTCCTATTTTTTTTGTTTTGTTTTATTCACAGCTGGGGTCCGGCCTTTCCTTTTCCCTTTTTTTTGTATAAGTGTGTGTGTAGTTGGGCTTTGGTGTTGAGCATATCCTGAATACCTTATCTTCATCCACTCCTGCTTTCCCTGTTCTTCATTCAGTCCCTGCTTGCCTTGTCAAAACTTCCACAGCAAAAGAAAGAATAAATGATCCGAACAGAGGGGAGGGGTTTTTTTTTTTTTTTTTTTTTTTTTTATCACTTACAAAGAGACGTTGCTGATGGCGATATTGAGGGTGTATAAGAATGAAAACATGAGCATGACCATGTTTTCACGCTCTCCGAGTTGTGCAGGTGTAAAATATCCTAGACGAGCCATGATCAACGCTCCGATGCCTGAGCATAGTGTATGGATCCCCGTTAATGTCCATGGAAAACTGAAGTGGAATGTGCTGAGGATCGCCTTGTTATAGATGGTGAGTGAGAGATTGAGTAGGAAATACATGGTCAGCCATGTATACGACGTGTCTACTTTCTTTGCGGGTGTATTCCCAAGTTGAAGTGGTATGGGACGCTCTTTTCCTTGCATGGCTCTCTTTTTTTTTTTTTTTTTAGACGACTTTTTTTTTTTTTTTCCTTTTTCTTTTTGAGTTGTGTTGGAGTTACTGGGTTGATGTTAATAAAAAGTAAAAAAAAATAAACCGAGACTGCTCTTGTCTTGTTCGAATAGGACTTGATGAACTTGTAGATGAATGAACTGAACTGAACTGAACTGAACTGAAACTGAAATGCTTTTTTTTTTTTGTTGTTCCCCTGAAAGAGATGAAAGGGTCTAGACAAAGTTCTTTCTTCAGACAATGATTGCGCAATGATTCGGTGTCACCGGCTAAATATCCCAGAAAAGGACAATTCGCGCAATAGGATTAAGGACAGGAATATGAATATGATAGATAGAGTGAAATGCAATTAAAGTAACTGAAGAGACGATCTATTGACATTGAAAAGAAACGGAAAGAAAAAGAAAAAAAGCGGTTGTTGGTTAGAAAAAAAAAATATGTATTCATGTCATGAAAAAAAAAAAAAAAAAAAAAAAAACGGTGGCCAATAACACTGCATCACTGAATTTACGGTATGGTATATGAGGAAGGAAGTGGAAGGAAAGGATGAAGAAATCAGAGGATTGAATGAACTGAAAGAAAGGAAGAAAAAGAAAAGAAAAGAAAAAAAAAAAAAAGGGAAGGAAGGCAGGAAGGTAGGAAGGCAAGAGGACAGGAAGCAAGGAAAAGGAAAAGGAAAAGGAAAAAGACAAAGAAAGATCCAGTCCTTTTCCTTGGTCTCCTTCTATTCGTCTGTTTGTCTGCATGTTAAAGTCTTGTCTTCGTGCTCTTTCGAAGCCAGCTACCTAGCCATACACAACCCCCATATCAACAAAAATCCCAGATACTCATATCCCTCCCACATCCATCATCATCATCATTATCATCATTATCATCATCATCATCATCATCATCAACATCGCCACCACTGCCAATTGTCTCCATTTTTTTTTCTTTCTTTCTTTGTCGTAGAAACAACAAAAGTGACGCTCAAGGAATGAAATGAGGAGTGTGGAAGTCAGATGGGAAACACAGGTACAACAAACAAAGGAACACAAAAAAGACCATCCTCCCTGATCTCGATCAAAAGTATCAACGCATCGCATCAACCTTGTTGTATTTATACAACCATTGAGCAGCACAAAATATTTATCCCGTATAAAAATAGCGAAACCTTTACCTTCTCTCTCCCACCTTTTACTTTTTCTCACTCACAACTCAAAAAATGAGTGAACGATTAGAATATAGACGACTGGAAAGAACTACTTTCCATTCCAACTCTCTGGGTTAAAGGATGTTCTAATCATTTATAAATATCATCATACCCTCCTCCCGGGCTATTGCTCAGTACAATACATGCTTAAAAAAAGGAAAAAAAGTCATCGCCACTAATTAATGGGCTATGACATTGTTTTTTTTTTTTTTTTTTTTTTTTTTTTTTTTTTTAATTCTGCCGTAAATATCCCCAGAAAAGAATAAAAAAAAAAAAAAAAAAAAAAAAAAAGATCCAATAGGCTGTGCAATGGAGACACGCTTCATCAGCAAGAAGAGAGCGGCAAGGCACGAAAAAGGTGAAGACGAGACTTTTGTATTGATATATGAATCAAAATATGTATGAAGGAAAGGAAGGGAAAACAGGAAAAAAAAAAAAAAAAAAAAAAAAAAAAAAGATATGACAGTGCCAATGCGATCATCTTACAGGAGATAAGGACCACAGCAACTAAAGTCTAGTTTGATCTGGCCTACTTTAAAAGTAGATCGATCCAAGAGATGTACATTCTAAAGCTTTAAAGACAATATGGGGACAATCAAAAGTAAAATGGGTGTAAGATGGAGTGTGGCAATAAGCGTGAGAATTGAAGGGTATGGCAACAGAAAAGAAACTAAAAGGATGCACACATTCTCTCTATTGATGTTTTTTGGGTAGGGGAGTGGGGAGGGTTGGCGGGGTGGAGGGAAGAGCAAGATTAGATCTTCATTAACAAACACGTTATGTTCTATTGAGAAACAAAGATTGAAAAGGAACGTTGCATTCTGAAGGATACCAGCTTTTTTTTTTTTTTTTTTTTTTTTGTCTTGGAGCTTTCATTTATAGCCTCCTATGACAAGACATAATATAGCCGCCAGATTGTATCGGAATATCGAGACTCCATGTGAACAGATGCCAATCATCCTGAGATCGCTTGTCTCACCTTTTTTTAAATGTCTTTCTGTGTTGTAAAAGGCTGTAAAAGACTGTAGAGGAGTGTAAAGGATAGAGGGCTTAAAAGGATCGTAAAAGGTGTCTTTTTCCTTCTTTAAAAAAAAAAAAAGAAAGAAAAAGAGAGTATTGTGAGGTCAAAAGGAACAGAATGGAAATGCGGAACGAGACTCAAGGCCAGGGGTAAATAAAGGCAGTGTAAAAAAAAAAAAAAAAAAAAAATAACAACGTTTGCGATTAAATTATTGAAATAACGTGTTGTGAAACAGGTAAGACTGAAAACGTGAAGACGCTACAAGAGGAAAAGAAAAAAAGATGATGAGAGGAAAAATGAAGAGGATTAAAGAAAAAAGAATTGGTCAAATGTAATTAATGAAATCTGTTGGTGCACGTAGCCCATCATTATCTGTATTTTCCTTGGAAAGGTTGGGAATAAGACGTTATTAAAGCCAAAGCATTGGTTCAAACAACAGGGCTCTCATCTATACTTCAGCGGTCAAAAATGAATTGTTCGACGTATAGCAATCAAAATGAATCGGCTATCTGACATGCACTGGACTTTTACCACTTCACCACCAAGAATTCAAATCTGTGTATAATGTGTATATTATTATCATTAATATCATGATTGATGACATTCAGGATGATTCCTTTTCGAATTAGAAGTGCGCAAAAAAAAAAAAAAAAAAAAAAAAGAAAAGAAAAGAAAAGAAAAGCAAAGCAAAGACAAATGGATAGTCTTGACACGTTCATCATTCCTAACGGACACAGACACATAACCACATGTTTCTCACTCATTTCGCATGGAAAGCAACGACCCCTGTAGGGATCAGTAAGTGGATGCATTTTCAGATCCACGAAAAATGTCAGGGGAAGGTTATTTTTTGTTACTGTTTACAGTACAGTGATTGAAGTTGACTACTACATGATCAATGTAATGCTTTGGTCGTAATCAGTAGCGATGCCCCTGTGAGTAGCAATGGTCAATATTTTAGCTCTTTATCCTTCCAGACATTCGCATAAGCGACTTTCTTTGAGTAATCATAAACAATAGCCTATAGTCCACAAGTGTATAGTATATATTCCTTCCCGAAAATGCAGCCGCTGGAAATCATGTTATTAAGAACAAATGAACTGTCAAAGAAAATAAAAAAAAATCTTCTTGAAACACTGGACGTTTTCCTTCCCCCCCTGTTGCGACTGTTCTGTAAGCACCTTGTCTTGTGAAGGGAAGTGAAAAATTGTGTAGGCTCAGATGGTCAGCATCTTTAGCATTTTCCCCATTTTTCATTTGCATAGCATGTTACTCGTTATTTCGACGGTAAGCTGGGCATGAAATAGTGGGGACTGCGCCATTGTTGGACAAATGAGTGTTATTAACCTGTCTCGTCATGCCTTGATCAAACAAAAGTATAAAATATAATATAATAAAATAAAAAGGCCCATGGCCCTGCAGAGAATATACTATTACAAGGCACTGTTGTTACTACCTTTGTTGTAATCACTGTTATTATGTTATTACTCAAACCTTCAAAGTAAGTGGGAAGGAATCTGCTCTTTTAGTCCTTTAGAAAGAGAAAGTGTTGATGTCAGGATGCGTTTTACTAAAAAAAAAAAAAAAAAAAAAATTCTGGATGTATATTTTAGCAGGGTTAAAGTGGCCAATGGGTCAATGGGGTCAATGGGACAAAATTATACATTTGTGTGCATGGATGGGATATAAAAAGAAGTCCCTCTTCTAATTTCTTTTTTTTTTTTCTTTCTTTTTGTTTCTCTGAATACGACCTTCCTCATCCATCCTTTGTCATTGATCAACTCTCTTGTTTTTGAGATATCCCTCCTGTCAGAGCTATGCAGCAACAACAAAATCACTACAATCATTTCGATCACAACCAATATCGTCGATCATCACTCGCGCATCCGCCTTATTACCAACACCAACACCAACATCAACACCAACAACCGCCACCCGAATACTCTTACGCACCTTATCATGGACCCACACATGCTCATAATAGTATACCCTTCACCTCTCAATCCTCCTCCAATTCGTTAGTTCAATCGCGTCAATTTCAGCAACAGCAACAGCAACAGCAACAGCAACAGCAGCAACAACAACAACAACAACAGCAACAGCAGCAACAGCAGCAACAACGACAACCGATCCAGGATAACAGCCAGCCACAACAGTCATACCATTCTCATGACTCAATAGCAACACCAGTATCCACTGCATCAGCTCCTTATCAACATTACAATCACTATAATACCTATCGACCTGGCTCTCCAAGTGAGATGCAATTCCAACGACAACAGTATCAACAGCATCAGCAGGTGCTTCGACAACAGCATCAACAGTACCAACACCAGCAACAGCACCAGCAGCCAGGTCATGCAAGGTCCGCTTCCACTGGTGCATTACCCGCACTCAACTCACTCAAGGATTGGTTTGATGCGGTCGACACGGATCATAACGGAAGCTTGTCCTGTGAAGAGCTACAGCGGGCGTTAATGAATGGTGATGGCTGGACCCCTTTCAATGGTAAGTTCTTTTTGTAATTATTATTATTTGGATATTGTAAAAAAACGGAAAAACGGAAAAACAGGAAATAGAACTTTCTCACTTGACTCGGAAAGGATAGAGTTATACAATCTCTTGGCACTGGCGATGAAGAAAGAAAAAAAAAAAAAAAAAAAAAAAAAAGTGGGCTGAATAGGGTGTACCAAGGATATTGGAGAATGTGAAGGGCGCATTGATGTAATTTACTGAAATGATAGTAATACACGTGGGGAATGCCTCAAAGCGAAAAAAAAATAAAATAAAATCCCGATATCGAAAGTAAAACAAAAAAAAAGTGGTAATGTTTTGATATGCATGCATCTTATATAACCCTTTTTCTTTCTTTTTTTTTTATAAAAAAAAAAAAAAAAAAAAAAAACTTAGTCGAGACGGTTCGGATGATGATGAATATGTTTGATCGCGATGGCAATGGATCGATCGAATTCAACGAGTTTATTGGGCTCTGGAATTATATTGAGAAATGGAAGACATGTTTCCAAACGTATGATCTGGATGGGTCAGGGACAATTGATGCCATGGAACTACGGAAGGCTTTACGAGGATTTGGATATAATCTGAGTGAGGCCATGATTCAGCTAATCATGACCAAATACGATGTTCGTGGTCGTGGAGACATCAGCTTTGACAACTTTGTGCAGTCGTGTGTCACCATCCAAACATTAACGGATGCGTTCCGTAGAATCGATGTGACCGGCACGGGCGTTGTCACCATGACTTATGAACAGGTAAGGGAGTCCGCTCGTTCGCAATTAAAAAAAAAAAAAAAAAAAAAAAAAAAAAAGTATGGGCTGTTGCGTTGTTTCTAATTTCTATGGCTGTAATTGCTTTTGCTTCACTTGCTTTGTAGTTTCTTGGGCTCGTGATCAATAATCGTTAGGATCCTCAAAAAAAGGGACGGGAGAGAGCATAGATCAAAAAGAGGGAAGAACCCATATTCCCTAATGCACATGTATGGAATTGTCCATTGTACATATTCAAAGCAAGCAAACACGTCGCACTCCTCGCTTTATTGGATTGTTTTTTTTTTTTTTTTTTTTTTTTCAACCTTTCGCCTCATCCAGGGTCTCCAGGGCAATCCAATAGCCAACTCGTTGATTGTGCACATGTCAAAGAAAATCCTTTTTCTTCCCTTTGAGGACCTGACATAACCTTGCATGTCCCTAGTATCAAACAACAGACAATAAAAAAAAGCCTACATTCTCAATAATGATGTACAAGGCATTTTTTCATAATGATTTTTATTAAAAGTGGTCTTTTTTTTACTGATAAGAGGTATGAGGAGAGTTGGAAATGGTCTCACCCTCTGGGGTGACATAAGCAGAGCAGAGTCCTCCATCGACCACAAAGTCCGTTCCAGTCATGTATGAAGAATCATCTGAAGCCAAGAACAAGGCAGCCTTTGCCTGTTCAATCGCCTCTCCAAATCGTCCCATAGGAACATGAATCAATCTCCTGTTCTTCTTTTCCTCGGTATTCAAGAATTCCATCAGCAAAGGTGTACGCAACGGACCTGGGCACAAAGCATTGAAGCGAATGTTTTCTTTCGCATGTACTACAGCCAATTCACGAGTCATAGCCAGAACGGCACCCTTAGAAGCTGTGTAAGCCAGTTGAGGTGTTGCTGCGCCACGGAGAGCTACGAATGAGGCTGTGTTAATGATCGATCCTCCACCCGTCTTTCGCATCTCCGCAATCGCGTACTTGCAACCCCACCAAACACCCTTGACATTGATATTCATGGTCAAATCCCTAAAAGAATGAAAAATAAAGTTTATGTAATCAGTCATTGATATTGTTTTATAATCCAAAAGAAAAAAAAAAAAAAAAAAAAAAAACTAAAGGGATTAAACCACATACCAGATATCTTCAGAAGTCGTGATAGCATTGTCGTCGGCAGGGTGCATGATACCAGCATTGTTGAAGAGAACATTGAGCTTGCCTAAGAGAGAAATCAAACAAAAAAGAGGGGATGACCAAGGAGATCCGCAAAGAACCCGTGGGAGTAAATTAAAACAGTCAGTCAGTTGATCAAAAAAAAAAAAAAAAAAGAAAAAAACTTGCTTCACCACATGGAAGAGCATTTTGAAAAATCCTCATCCTCACTTCCAATCCATGCTTCTATCGCTTTTCCCCCCTCTATCATCCAGGCTTGCTATTCAGAGTTGACATCAAGAAAGGTGGCATAGTAGATATGGATAGCTTACCAAATTGGGCGACAGCCAACTGGATCATCTTCTTGACATCTTCCTCTTTACTGACGTCGACACGGACAGCAATGGCACGACCTTCACCAAAGAGTGAATTAATCTTCTCAACAGTCGCAGCCGCGCCCTTTTCGTTGATATCGGCACATACAACCTGAGCACCTTCGGATGCAAACAGGACCGAGGATTCGAGACCGATTCCACTTTTTAAAATTATTTAAAATTTATGGAATGAATTACGTTAAAAAGTCTCCAAGGCAAGTGCAATTATGAAATGAAGAAAAAAAAAAAAAAAAAAAAAAAAAAAGTCCCACCAAGGAAAAGAGTTTACCTTCCAGCACCAGTGATGACGGCGACTTTGCCGGCCAGACGAGTTCCAGTGGGCGCCATCTTTATAAAATAGGTATGAGTGTGTCTGATTAGGGGAAAAGGGAGGTGGAAAGAAAGAAGGAAGAGTAAACAGCAAAAGATCGTGAGAGCAAAAGAAAAAAAAAAGGAAGGAGAGGAAAGAGAAAAAAGAAAAAAAAAGAAAAAAAAAGAAAAAGGACTTTTGTAGAAGGGCTAGGTATTTATACAACGAAAAAAAAAAGAAGATTGTTCAATAGCGCGACATGTCATGGTTGTACATGTGTCATCACATCCATTGAGTGGTTTGATTGCCAATACTGAGTTTGATATATGGCTTCAATTAGAAGATGAGTTTTAATGTTGGTTTATGTATTCACAAAAACGCAAGAATCCCATCTTCTTTTTTCCCTCCCCTCTCCCCTTCAAGTATTTGAAATAAGAGGATCGTTCATCCTTTTGCATTGTCTTAATGGTGCTGCCTCAAGAAAAAAAAAAAAAAAAAAAAAAAAAAACCATTTGATATCCTTCACATTCGCTCGCTCTTTTTTACGACAAAAGAGATTTTTCCTATGCATGACCCAATCATGGATGGAGTACGGACTACGGAAATATTATTGATAATAATGCGCTGTGGCTGGTCTGTAGCACCACTTTTTTTTTTTTTTATCTCATGCCGCGTGTTTGGATCCGATCCCCTTTCCCAATGAGGAATCTGCAGAAAGAGAGAAGATATTCGCAACTTGTAAGAGATCAGCCGAATTCTACGTGAATGAAACTACGTATTTACTTACCGGGCTAGAGAGAGTGACTGGAAAAGGATACATTACGTGCATAAAAAAGCCGCAGCAAATATTTATTTTGTATTCTTACACACATTCAGCGCGTTGTTTTTTACGCGTCTTTCTCACACTAATGTTTCCTTCCTTCTTTTCGACCACAATCCTGAAGCCACAAAGGGAAAACATTTCATTTATGATTGGTGCAAGGAACGAATCCGTCGTCGATCTTGAAGAATGTGTAATGGAAAGGTGGTCATTATTGATCCTTACTGCTGCAGATGAAGATGATGTTGTTATTGTTAACAAGATGGCTACGGCTGTTTGATGGAAAATCCCTTCTTTTGCTTCTTGTATCTGATTATTGGGGCAACCAAAGAAGAGGAAGAAAAAGAAAATGATAAAGTACTCTTTTGTTATTTTAACAATGTATTAATCTGGAGTGGGACGAAAATGTCTTCTTTGCCCAGCCCTCATTATTCAGCCCAAATTCCGTCTTGCAGCGCCATCCCCAATATTGCTTTTTTTTTTTTTTTTTACATGTCATTATGCGCTTTGACGCCAATGGTTGAATGTCGTAATAAGGAACCCCTTATGAGGTCTGCTATATTGTTTCCCAATTTTTTTTTTTTTTTTTACAGATGATATCTTGCTCCGAGAGAAAGTCGAGAGTAGTAGGAAAGTAGACTGCTGTTGAAGCAAGATATGAGTAAAAAAAAAAAAAAAAAGAAAAAGTCAGGGACGATGGAAAGAGATAAGACAAGATCAAATGGATTCATATTCACACATTCATTTCCGACAACACAACACAAAACGCATCCAAGCTCAAATATCCGCACAGTTTCAGTAAGGTTTGGGCTTGTCATCTGCGTCACAGACAAATGTGAAAAAAGTGCTTAATTTTCAATGTACTCCAAGGATCGATTAGTGTTCACAGCTCATTGATGGCACCATAAATTGAATTGACACAGCGGCCTGTGTGTATGTGTGCAGAAAAGTTCTCTTTCCTTCAAGTCTTTCTTTTCACCTTTTTCTCTTTCTCATTCTCCTTTCTCATTCTCCTTTCTCTCATTCTTCATTCCTTCTTCATTCAATCATTTCATATCCCTTTTTCTTTTTTTTTTGTTCATTCATTTCCTCCATTCACTTTTTATTTTTTATTTTTTTCTTTATAACTATCCTAAACCACCGCCACAACTTTTTTTTTTGTCTTCTACTATAACATCACTACACCATGGACACTGACGACTATCAACAACAACTTCAACATCAGCAATATATGATGCACCTACAACGTCAACAGCAGCAGCAACAGGAACGACTACAACAACAACAGGTTGCTGCTAATTCACCCACGCGCGAATTTACAGTTGTAGCCATTGGCAAGAGTGGTGAAGGTATTATTTCTCCTTTTTTTTTTTTTTTTTTTTTTTTTTGCTCTGCTGATGACCTGGACCTAAACCTGCAAGCTGCGGTGCATTAAAAAAAAAAAAAAAAAAAAAAGGAATCACAAGATTCATTATGAATACAAAAAAACTAACGACTCGACTTTAATGGCAATGAATACAGGCAAAAGTACACTTTTAAACTCAATCTTGGGTCGAGAAATGTTCCTGGCCAAGGCATCTGTCAAAGTAAGATAACGAAGGAGGGGAGCGAACAACAAATCAACACATTGTTTTTATCGACCATCGATCTTCTTAACATCACATCTATACTGTTTTGTTTTGCATTGTTTCTTTCGACTTTCTCTGCTATTCAAACTAATTTGATGTTTTATGACTTTTTTTTTTTTTTTTTTTTTTTTTTTTCGCAGGAAGTAACACAGAGGGTCGATCAGGCCACCAACCATTTCTTGAATATCTCCTCCAACCCTGTGATGCATTGTATCGACACACCGTCATTTAATGGACAACTACACGACCCAGAACGTATCAATGAGATTGGTGCATTGCTGACAAGAGTTGCAGCGGGCGTGGATGCATTCCTCTTCGTCGTCAAGTGCACTCACTATCGGTAAGCAGGTGCAGACGACTATTTGAACAAATTGCGAATTGATGTGAAATAGCGAATTAATCGTTCTTTTTCGGGTCCATGTGTTGGATGGACTGATCTTTTCTAGATATGACAACACGTTCCATCAGACATTACAAACGTATCAGAGCCTACTCACACCTGCATTTTGGCCTAAAGTGATTCTTGTTTTTACACACGCTACACCAGAGCTGGTCTCCAACACCACAGAGTCACGGTTACCTTTGATGGCATGGGCACGAGAGATTCAAGAAAGCTTTAAGCTGGAGGCACCACCACTAACAGTCTTTGCAATGGACTATGTTCGATTTCCATACCCTGCTGGCGGAGCACAGGAGTTTTGGGAGGCATTGATGACACTAGATGCCAATACAACACCATATCGACACACACCTTTTCTCGAGAGCTTTGGCAATGGAATTGCAGTGGAAGGATATGTACAGCGGATCAAGGGTCATCTTGCGCTGTTTGAACCAAGTTTCTTTGAGGAACAAGCAGAAGGGCAGTATAATGAGAATAAGAAGAGAGTGGGTCGGTTCAGTTTCTTTCGGAAGAGTAAGAGTGCTGTACCCAAGACAGCTATAGGAGGGCCATTGTCAGCATCATCATCAACAGTGTCAACAGCTTCCGGAGCATTGTCGTGAGAGCTTTTTTTATTTTATTTTATTTTTCTTGAATAGGATCTTTGGTGATCATTGTAATAACATTGATGTAAAATAAAATAAAAAAGCTTTTTTTTGTAATGCAGTCAGAACGAGATTAGATGAGCACTCTTTGGAACGTGACCTTTAATAAAAAAAAGAAAAAGGCTGGATAATCGCGTAAAAGGTGATCATTGTTCCTTCCTCGCCTCTTCACTCTTTGTTCTGACTTCTCTGACTTCATTCTGTTCCGTCTCTCATTCGCTACATTTACTTTTTTTTTTTTTTTTTTTTTTTTCTTCTCCATTCAGTCTTTTCATCTCTTCACGCTTCCCTATCACCTGTAAACCACCTTTTAGAAAGAAATAATTAGAGCCTTAATTTATCCTTTTTCTATTTCTATTTCTATGTTAATCTTGAACGACAAACATACATATCATGGAAAATCAACCTACTACACCTTCACAATTCGATCCGATACGGAGTGACACATCGGCGTCCATTTCGATGTCAACACCAGCTTCAAGCTCAGCTTTGACGCCAGCGTCAGCGTCACCTACGACCTCAATCTCGTCAACGTCCTCCTCAGGAGTGCTGCTGCCGCCACCGCTGCCACCGCTGCCTTTGCCCACACGGCAGCCAACGCCCAAATTGCCAGCTGAATGTCTTCAGTTGATCATGGCTCACTTTGAGGATGATCTAACTATGTTGCATTCGCTCCTTTTAGTCAATAGCATTTTCTTCCAGCTGGCTGTTCGGTTGCTCTATCGATCTCCCTTCCGGTTGTTAAAAGCTTTTGATGGAGATAAATTGCCCTGGGATAAATATCGACGTCAGGTGAAACTCGTTTGGCTATTGCTTTCCTGCGTTATGCACCATCCTTGGGTCTCAAGTGAACTACCACCAATGGACACATCCTTCCCAGTGCTGCGCAACCCTGCTCGACATCATCGTGATGATTATCAGCAGCAGCAACATTATCAACAACAGCAACAACAACAGCAATACCTTCCAGGTCTGGATAACGAGAGGTGTACCTTAGCTGATCCATCACCGAATGATAGCATTATTTACACCACCAATAGCAACAATAACGTCAGCCATGACGAAAGAACAGCCACTACCAGACGATTGGATGATAATGACAATAGTGACGATGGATACAAGGATTTGACTATAGATTATCTCCGATTCTACATTCATCATGACCATCCCCAACTCTCTGACGCGTTCCCAGATCTGTTCCCAGGTTTGATATGCCGGATGATGGATGAATGGCGTCGATCTGAAGATATGATTCGATTACGACACACGATCGAACGAGCCTTTCTTTTACATCACCCAGAGACGATTGTTTCTTTGACCATCCCCTTGTCAAGAATAGAGACATATCTAGAATCAGGCGCTGTGACTAGGCTTTCGAGGTTAAAAAAAATCGAATTTGTAGATATCAAGAACTGGAACCTGGTGAACATTCAACAGGCGACCTTGTTCTTGAAGCAGCATGATCGAGCCCGTATTCAGGAGAACGGAGGCAGAAATATCAATAGAAATAGGAGCAGGGGCGAGAATAGGAGTGGGCACATGCCGCAGACGAGGAAAGAGGGAGATTGCAGGCAGCAATCACAGCCGGGTAACTATGATCTCGATGATGACGGTGGTGGCAGTGGAGGCGGAGGTCGAGCTGAGAATGGCAATGGCTGTGGGGCCTATGCTGAAAGCCAAATAGACTTGTCGGAGCAAAAGAAGAAGAAGAGGAAGGAAAAATTTGCTGTCACCCTCACAGAGATCAAACTTGGTGGGACTGATGACAGTGGGATCATTCAGACGCTGGAACTGTATAGGATCCCACAGGCATTGCGATGCCTTCGGGCTCTAGACGTAACAGGCTGGAGGGGCGCGGCCTTGGATATGATGTCTATCCCTACGGAATCATTACAGGTCCTTAAAATGAGGTTGGATCGTCCATTGCCAATAGTGAGTCCTCTGTTGACATTTTTAGCTCATGCACGACAGTTGAAGGAATTACAGATTTGTATTGCAAGGACTCATGAGGGATGTTTTGGGCCTCAGTTGACAGAAGAGCGGAATTATATCCAAAAAATGAAGAGACTTAAAAAGGCCGCGCGGTTAGAACGTCTGCGACAATACCAACAGCAGCAACAGCGCCATAGACGGATATCAAACCATGGACGAGAGGCGGACAATACTGAAGATAAAGAGACAAGGGACAATATGGATGGGAGTGAGGAGGACGAGAATGAAGACGAAGACCCAGAGAGAAATGAGGATCAGGGACTGGAGGTACTTAGTCTCTCGGGAGAGACTCGTGTGGTCGTGCATGCATCCTGTGACGCAGCCAGAAGATACTGCCGTAGCTTAATCACACTTCAGGTTAATTCATGGAAAGAGAGTACAGGGCTTCAATTCGAAGACATTGCAGTGGGTCCTGTCATACCCCAGATGGCTGATGGGGGCGATGATGACGAAGGCAATCCTTTTCCTCCTCCTCCACCTTTGCCTTTACTACCACCACCGCTTCCAGTCATCCCAGCGACAGCAACAGGCAACAATGGCCATTCTGACAGCGATGACGATAGTGATAGTGACAGTGACAATAATAACTCCACAATTGGGACAGGATACACTTCTACAAGCATTCGAACTCGATCTCGTCTAAGTTTACAGTTCGAGGAGACTATGATCTGCCTACGATCGCTAGAGCTCCGTGGCGAGATAGCCGCATTGCATTTCGTGCTCGAATCGTTGAAACGCTGTCCAACCCTTCAAACCCTCAAACTCAACACTAAGCCCAGCAAAATTGAACCAGCCTCGTCTACGATCAATGCCTTAGTGGAAAATGTCTCTACCGAATTAAATGAGCTTGAGTTAGTAGGGCCATGGTGGATTACAGACTCGCATCTGAATAGGATTGCTAATCGGCTTTTGAAAATGAGAAGCTTGAGACTGATCCATGCTTCATCGTTTTATTCCATCAATGCTCAATCTCCTGCCACTGTTACCCACCACCATGGCTCATCTGCGTCGAAAGCTATATCATTATTACCGTCACTGTTACCATCGCCATCACCTTCATCATCAAAACCAGTGCCCTCACCTTCGCTCCCTTGCTCCGACAATAATGAATCAGCTTTGAGTAACAAGTTTCTCTCACCAACAGGAATTCTTCATGCTGTACAACAGATGGGTCAACTGCAAGAGATTCAACTGGGAATGGATATGGATCGGTTCCGTCGGCTTGATCAAGAAAGAAGCCTCCCTTTTATCGCTTTTAGAAAGAGCCAAAATAATGAATCAAAGGATATCTGGACATTAGTGCGAGAGATGCTGGAGCAAGAAAGCCTAAATTGCCAACGAGCCTCTGCAGGATGGTGTCCGTTTAGAGTTGAAGTTCAACATTGTCCCACATAGAATATTATATATTATTATTAACAACAATAACCATAAAATGTACAGTACATTAATTTGTAAAAGTGTTCAAAGAAATATATTAGATTGAACATATTTACTGGAATTCCATTCGTCACTCGGTAAAATGTTTTAATTTTTGGTTGGTATAATCGGTACAGATGTAAAAAGAAAAGACAGCTTTTTCAACGAGGAGTGCCAGTCGCAGTATTTCTTGATTCATACGCTAGGAGTTGTGGACAAGTTCATAAATACTCGACCCAGTCTATGGTTTTTTATTATTGGACCCTTCAAAGAGAAACACAACATGCGTCAACAACTAGCATAGACATGATCAAGACCGACGTACATTCGGCTTTATTTATATTAAATGAATTGAGTAATAGCTGGGGACTAAATGGTGTGATTCCGTTACAGTCGCCGATATCAAATGTGGTTTAATCAGATAAACTACGCCTCCATTCCTTCGAGCGGCACCTTCCTATATTCATTTTTGTATTTAATCCATCCAACCTTTTTCATACTTTCCAGGTATTTCCATACTTCCCAACCATTCTTTTTAGGCTCCTTGGCCCATTCATTTACAGGTTTAAATACCGCTCTTTTTTGTATGTTTGCAGAAAGCATCCTATCATTAGTGAGATACTTTAGCTCTAATAAACTTAGCAAGCCCTTTCGGACTTCTGATTCACCGAGTGGGAAGAGATCGACCAATATACCATTTCCTAAGCCAAGCCTGTCTATATTTTTCCTACTCTGGCGCTCTAGGATCGTCATCGGAGCATTTGTTCCTGTTCTTGCACATCCAGAATGAGGACTGTCTTTAAGCAGAGGATATTTGATGAGTTGGTCAAGTCAGTAGCCTGTCTTCCCCATGTCGCGTCAGGAATGGCAAAAGCGGATAGCTTTCCCTGGCCTATATGAAAACGCTGCAAAAACAAATATCTACTATGTCTTCTAAAGGCATCACCACGGAATGTTTATTCAAGTCAAATATCCTTGTTCTAACAAATTCCCCACATTGCCACCAAAATCTTTATTATCGAGGGAACCGACCTATAATGCCCCGCTCTCTACTTCCTCTTACCAGTCCAATTCATGAGCTCTTTCTTCTCCATACACTATTTCGAGAAAATCCACTTAGCTTAACTTCGTCTTACGAAAGCATACGTTTCTTTGCGCCTTGGACTGGTGATAGCTTCAATGGATCGTTATCAGGTACGATTTTGCCCCCCTTGGCATCCTCAACCCACTTGGTTGGTGGTATCATCACAAACGCTGAAGGAGACGACGTGTACGATCTATCCAAACGTGTTTCGACACACATCGACAAGTTTCAGCAGATTCGACAACAACATCAACAAGGATTAATTGATGACGAAACTTAACGATACGTAAGTTAACAGCTGGTTATTTTCGATCAATAGGGAGTGGGTCGCATATATCCTTCTCTTACTACTGAATCACCATGAATATTCATCAAGGACTCTCTCGTTTTACTCAACACGCTAATTCGCTAAAATTAGCTTTTTGAGAAGAAAAGTACTACTTCAATAATATTGGAAAGCCACAGGAGACAAGAAAATCTCCCTTGATGCAATTCACATCAACTACAAGACCTGGGAATGCACCAATGAAAAGACGGCAGCCGAATTACTCGCAAGCATCAAAGAAACGGTCAAGAAACTCATCGGGTTTGCAGTGGTCCAGTTCAACACCTATCAAGCCAATCCAGAAGCTGGCCTTGCATTCACAGAACTTACGACCCTCGCAGTCACAGGCAACGGTCAAGAAGACAGCGGAACAATCGCTCACTACATGGATAAGAGACTCAGAGGACTATAGTTCCGAAGACGAAGATGCTGTTCACGCCTTATTGGGGCATCATAGTCTTGTTGTACATGCACAAAAAAGTTTGTTTACGCGATGTCGGATATATTATGGTCACGTGGTGAGCTCGCCACCAACCTACAAAACGAACCATATTCTCGTTCAGACTTTTTTGTATACCAATAAATAGGATAGTAGAAGTACTTTTATAGTTCTTTATCAATCTTTACTTTGAATTATCGATCACCTTCTTCCCTTTCCATCATCATTACATTATCAAAAAAATAAAGAACGCTGAAAAGCTCACCTTTGATATATATTGGTCGGCTCCACTGTGACGGCCTTAACTGAGAACAAGCTTATGGTCATGCTCTACTTTATACGGACATGTATCACTGTATCGTATAGAAACCATTTTATTAGGAAAAGTGAAAAAAAAAAACACCATGTCCTTGCAGGTTGTTCTGTCTTCTATCCAATGTATATTTTTTCTTCTTTATTGCGAGGTTGTATTTCGACCCTCCGATTTCGGCTCTTCCTATCATATTATTAGTAGAATTCAATAAGCGCCGGATCCTTCACTCGCGAATACGGTGCATGCTCCTGCGTAAAGATGATACACAAGAGTTCAATTCTCCTCCTGATTGAAAATCAGTTTGTGCACCGCGCTTTCTAGCTGCAAATTCCCCTCCACGTGTGGAAATGCTGTGCAATAATCCAATCTTACTGTAGACCAACTCTATATTGCCTTCACTTTCTGAGACTGTTGCAAGACGCGTTCATTATTTGCGAAATGGGATTGTGGTAGCTGATCTTGCACACCATATTATATATATTGTTATTTATAAGCCGCGCTATGCTCTCCATTCTCCTCAATAACTCTGTGATAATCATCATCACAGATGATATACATTCTCCTTCCTTGTCCTATCCCGCTGTAAAGCCGAGCGTTCTCTCTTTTATAATGTGATAGTAGCGACCTTTAAAGACATTACACGAGAGAAACTCAATGGCGTTTTCTCAGTCCAAGCCATGTCCTAAATCAGGTAATGAGGCATCACATGAGCTTACTGCGATAAATTCATTATATTGGCATCAAAAAAAAAGTTATAGCAATCAATAATGTATTTTTTATTTTATTTTATATTTATTATTATTATTATGAAGGTTGATTTATATAACCATGCCTATTTTTTTTTTTTTTTATTTTTATTTTTTTTTACAGAATGGCGCCTCCATAGAAGGAGGTAATATCCTCACTTTGCTGAATAGGTGCTCCTCCTGGCGTGCGGTCCTTGGACTGTGGAGACAAAGCTGGACTTTGTTGTGTGGAAGCCGAGTATGGGGCCATGCTATTAGAAGCTGCCGTGACATTGGCTAACGTAGCGGGGGAAATCCTGGGCGACGGCGCTCCGAAAGTTTGTTCATTCAAAGGCTGTTGCTGGTAGCTTGAGTACTGAGAGTAAGATGGTTGTTGCAACTGCTGTGGCTCTGGAGCGGGGATGTATTGTTGTTGGACAGTTTGCGCTGGTGCTGATGCAGGTGTGGGTGCAGGTGGAGGAGATTGAGGCACCGGTGGCAAGGCTGGCTTGATGTATGTGCTAGCGGTAGCGGCAGCGGGAATAGTGATGGAGGAAGATGACAGTGGCGACGAAGGTCCTTTCTTGGGCGTCAAAGGTTTAGGTGATTTAGGAGATGTGGATGAGTTTGTAGGCGAGGGAAGCGAGTTCAATGGAGGAACGGTGCCTTCAACTGCAGCTAAAACATCCTCATAGAAACCATCACCAAACATCGAATCCTCCGCAAGCGTAGGTGAATCCAGACCAGTACTTGGGTCAAACAAATTCTTCTGCACATTGGTTAATGAGCTAAAAGATGACTCTTGCTCATCTGAGGATCGGACAGGGGAGAGGACATTGGCTGCTGGTGTAGTTGCAGTCGTGTTGACATATGGGCGAGATGCTGGCGCATTGCTAGATACGGGACTGGTTACCTCAGTCTCCATGAGGCGGTTCTTGATATCGTCCTCATCATTGTTATCAAAGTCAGAGTCGGAGTCATCATCTGGGAAATCATCATCATCGTTCTCTGTGTAGGCAGCTGCAGACACTGGACGTTTCTGTTTGGGAGTCTTGGCCTTCTTTGCTTGGGACTGAGACCCTAGTTGCTCTTGACTTTGCTGCTTCTGCAGCTGACGCTGAGCCTGATGTTCTTTGGCAGCCTCCTGGTTCGGCAAGACAATGGGTCCGGACCTAGGCACTCCTGTAAACTTGACAGACTTCTTGCGCACAATCTCAGTCGATGCAGGGGTAAATGTGCTCGAAGGCTGGTGCGGGATTAGATCCGAATTCAAGGGAGATGCAATCACTGCTGAGAGCATTGGAACAGCAGGAATACGGGATGCACCCTCCTCATCATCTTCATCACCGTCTTGAGGCTGAGCATATGCGCCAAAGATAGTATCACGATATCCGTTGTAGACTGGAGCATTATCTTCTACTTCCTCGAGCTCAGCTTTATCATCCAACTGAGTAGAGTCAAGAGGTTTCTGAGCCGCAGACGAGGGTTCAGGGCTTGAGGGGGCCTGTTGTTGCACTTGTTGCTGCTGCTGCTCTTGTTGTTGACGTTGCAACATCTTTTGCTGTTGTTCGTAGTGATGCTGCTGGATGCCAAGCTGCTCCAGCTCAAGATCTTTTACTCTAGGTGTAGCATTAGGGCCGACCTGGCGATGAGCCTGGACAGGAGACGTTGCAACAGCTGCAGCTGCAGCTGCATTCATGGCCAGAATTTCATGTTCATTAGATGGCGTCAATGGGGCCTGGTTCTTGGATTGAGGACCCATGTTATGAGGATACCGGCTACTGCCATTACTGGGACTGGCCTTGAGCTCTTTAGGGCCATTGGGGTCATAGATGGACTCAGCATCCGACTCCGATGACTTGCGGTTCTGTGGACTGCTTGCTCGTTGAGGAGGAGGCCCTGTCATTTGAGGAGGCTGGTACTGATGTTGACGGGGTAAGGCTCCTTGTGCTGGGATCACTACCTCGGGTCCATCAAATGGACTCTCAGATGGTGAACTCATCTGTTGTGGAATAAGGTTAATAGGTCCCGAGACTTGATGTTCAGGACGGGAAGGAGCACCGTTCAATGGCACAGAGACCATATCTCCATCAGCAGGGCCGCCCGCTCCTGCAGATTTTGTCAAGGACTCTTCCTTGGATGTAAGGCCTGCTTCCTTGCTATCGTCCATAGAGGGACCGTCATGCACTTTAGCTGCGGAGACACGGCGGCGATGACGGGTAATGAACAGCATGGAGACTGCGAGCAAAAGTACCGCGGCACCTGCGATCAAACCAATCAACATCATGCCAGAAAGACCAGAGCTTGCCTGGGCCTCTCCTGATCCAATGGTGGGATCCGCATCTGTGGGTATAGCAGCCGCAGCCGCAACTGTGGTAATAGTTATGATGGGAGCATCAATGTCAAATTGCCTTGAACTGACGGGCTTGATCTTGGACTGATAGTCGCAATAGAAACTATGCTGTGACACATTTAAGAAAACACAATCCATGCGTCAGTCGCACGAAAACTTGCAAGGACAATTGGCTGTGTAACATCTTGTATGCCTATTTGTTGATACCTTTCCTCCAGTTGCATTCGCTGGAATCTGAACTCGTAGATTGAGGGCAGTCTGTGCAACATTAGACTGGAGCAAATATCTTTGGCCAGTGAGTGCACGCAGGACTAAATTGAAGGGTTTATCGTCAAGTACTGTTCCAGCATCTGGAGCTGCAGCAGTCCATGACAAAGCAACCGTTTCACCAGGTTTAATAATCAGGTTATCAGCTAATTTATTGAAGGCAATATTGGCAGATATCGTCTGCATCCATGTCATTGCAAGCGCAAGGGATGGAAGGAAGAGTGAAGAGCGATATCCTGATCGAATCATCTTTGCGTTGTTTTTTCTATCACTACCAAGTGTTGACATGGTTAACTATTTGTTGGAATTAGAATGGAGATATGAAGGAGGCCAATGGGGTAGAAAGTAAAGAGTAGAGAGCAAGGATTAATCTGGCTGTATCTTTTCGAAGTATGACTATTATTATTAACTTCTCCAGGAGGAGGAAGGACAGCGAGTCTGATATAAAATAAGGTGCTGGTGAATTCAATTAATATTAACGTAAAAGAAGGTAGAAGGTGGAAGGGGGCACATTAAACTAACCTGTAAAGAAGTTGGGTGATGCAAAGCGGACAAATAAAGGAGGTTCAAGGATGTGTGTAAGTTTTAGGACTTAGAGGAGACGTTGTGTGAAATATTTGAAGGTATAAAAGGGCGGTATTAATGATGGCGCTGAACAAGGAGTGGGGAAGCAATCGGGCAGATTATCAAAGGAAGGACGGAAGGAAGGAGGGGAAGGAAAAAGGATATAATAAGCTGAAGAGCAGAGTGTTGACCGTGTATAAGGTAAGATGGGCGCCTGTTCCTAATCAGTTGTGGAACAATTAACTGTTCTCAATGGGAAAGCCGGGGAAGGAAGAAGGAAGAAGCAAGGTGGAGAGAGAAAAGAGAAAAGAGAAAAAGAGAAGAGAAAAAAAGAAAAAAGAAGGACCAACAGATTCAAGAGCATAATAAAATCCGCGGGCGGTAAAAAAAAAAACCAATGAACAATGAATGGTACCTTGCAAGGGGAGAAAGGAAGCCAGACTGATTGAGAAGTAAACAAGGTAATTTTAACGCATTATAAAAATACAGTACAGACATCATTCAGTTGTAGTTAAAAAAAAGATAAAAATTAAATTTAGCGTCTGGTTGTGCTGGTTGTGCTGGTTGTGCCTGCATTGATTCACTCAGCACCCGTTAAACACTAAACATACTTTACTCAGGTAGGACAGACAAGGAGGAGGTATTTAAGATTCACTGATGGGGCATGGTCAAAAAAAAAAAAAAAACAAGAGCGTTATTTTTGTTTATTTGTTATTTGGTTGGACAATCTCACCATTCTCGGCCCTATCTACCGTATATTTATACAATAGTGGTGTTTCTCCACTGCCTTCGACTTGACAACGCCTTCGATAGACTGGTTCAATCAGAGCCCAGTTAGACAATACACACAAAAAAAGAGAGCGTTCAATTTGATGTACATGTACAGTATATACTGTACATATTAGGGGTAATAGATAGAGACATGAGTATACATTTATATATACTTGCCGCCGATATATCCGTTCTACACTCAATTTTACTGCCGAGAAAGAGATTGGGAGGGAAAGGGAGAGGAGGCAGGGAAAAGGAAAAGAGATCTACCAGCTCTATTGTGAGATTGCAGTAATTCAGTACATGAATATTGTCTGTGTCATCTTGAGCTGTGCACGCTTAGGTGAAGACCGTTGGAGAAGGTTGCATTGTGCTTACATGAAACGCGTAACACATTCAAGCCCCATTTTAAGGAACTGACCCCTGAAACGTCTTTTTCATCCGCGTTGTGCGACTATGATTGCAACATCGACATTCACACATCCTCTTTGCCTCATTGTCCTCTTCGTCTTTCTCTTTCCCTGCCATGATAAAAATCTTCTAGGGCACGATGAGATCCATCTTTTCTTTTTCTTTTCCTTTTCCTTTTCCTTTTCGGCTCCCATACATTGTGCATACGAGGCTAATTGATATCATCCGATTTTAAACTTGAGTCTAAACCCAGTCCCATGTTCTGAAGGAGCACGTTTCGCTCTGCTTCTTTCTTTTTTGTCCAACTGATCTGATTTACCATGCACTGGGATTCGAGCCGATAAGACGATATAAAGATATAAAAAAAAACATTTATTATGCAAACATTTACGTATATATATTTATATATGTCCAAATATACTAAAATAGCACGCTTACCTTGGTGGCTCTCAAGAGTATATGAATATACTCGTATACAAAAATTAAAAAAAACCCATTCCCAATTTGTATTCCCAGCTCGGGTTAATGTAACTTTCGGGAGATACAGAATGATGAAAGAGGTACTGGGAAAACTGTTTGGAATTTATATAAATATACCTACAACATGTAAAGCCCGACATGGAAAGGCTGACTGGTCTTCATAATTGAGAATCACAAATCTCCACTTTTCCCCTCTCTCCACCAGTCTTTCTTTTTCTCTCCCTTTTTTTTTATTTCTTTTTAAGAAAAAAAAAAAGCAAGCAAAGCAATGCTTATCAACTCTTGAAAAAAAAAAAAAAAAGAAAAGCCAGGAGAAATATGCAAGTACTTTACTAGTTTTATTAGCCTTTTTTTTTTTTTTTTTTTTTTTATATAAATATATATATATATATATAAAAAAGGCATGGTTATTGTTTGTTGTACATTTAATTATATCTACGACCAATCGTCATGACGACGACTATGCCATTGAGAAACATACGCGTCTCCATTAATGGATGTCTTGTCTGGTTCCTGGTCCCGTGAGTTCTCAAAAGATGGATTGAACCGCTGCTCTTCCTTAAGCTTTGAAGGCCCTGCTCGCTGAGAAGTGATTGATTCTGACTCTGGCTCTGGCTCTGGCTCAGGTGTCGGTGCAGGAGGAGGCATAGGACCATTACCCCAGCCAGCACCAAAGAATCCAGAAAGTGCCAAAGATTGGTTCGAGGTTTTGTGGCGCAGTGTCTTTGGCTCCTGTAAGTGTTGCTGTTGCTGTTGCTGTTGCTGTTGTTGCTGCTGCTGTTGCTGCTGTAAGTGTAGCTGTTGTTGTTGTTGTTGTTGTTGAAGCTGTTGGTTCCTAGCCCGTGTATAGCTCTCGTGGTCTTCTTCATTCACGAGCTCACTTGTTCTTGATGAAGCGAACTGTGAGGCAATGGGTGTGACAAAAGCGAGCCTTGGTGCTTGAGCTTCATCATATTGTGCCTGCGAGAGATTATCCATGGACATGTTTTTCCTGTCTTGAGAAAGTCCTGGAGTCTGTGACCGTGGACCCACCTTGAGATCATATTCCTCACGGGTCATCATGCGCCGCTCCTTGTTATGTGCCCACCCATCGTGCTCACCCCACCACCACATTCCCTTTTCGATGGTTCCGCAGATAATGACAAATAAGATGGGTGTCCACAGCAAGAAAAGAATTACATTCAATATCACAGCTGCTTTGACACCTTTACACTGTGCTGTATATCCTGGACGATCTGATAGAGGACCCTCTCCACAATTGGATTTAGCACCATACTCGTTGGCTGCAAGAACAATCCAGCTGACAAAGTTAAGAATTGTGAGGATTGCAGACATGAAAATAGTAGTAGTTTGCATAGCAGGATGATTGATGATTGTGCGCCATGATGATTTCAGTCCTCCACGCCGGACAAGGATTGGTGAGAGCGATTGCCAGATAGCAGTGATGGATGTGCTCACGGTTGCCACAAGAACTATTTGGAAAGGGTAAATTGCTAATTAGCAATCATATTCATTTTTGAAGGCCAGATGATGAAAATGAACTGTTCCCCTGTTCCGTCGTGTAACAATGAAAACATCATCAATTACTTCATAAATTTGATTGTGTAAAATGTAAATGTATAAACATACAAATAATGTAGGCTGCATTGACAAAGGGCTGAGATTCGAACTTGTTCCTGTCAAGAAAAACCACGAGGGAGGTCGGAAAGGTGGCGAGACAAATTTTGATGTGTGAGAGGCAAAAAGTGGTTAGTTGCATTGTCCTTTGTGACAAAAAAGTAAAAAAACCACTGTTCCATGTCTTGTATAGCAAACAAGCGTGCCAGGCTGAAACATAGTCTTTTTTCTAGACCGAAAATTCAGGTCGCTTTTTTTTTTTTTTCTTTTTTTTACCTAAAAGCATAAGCGGGCATGAGTGAAAGCCAGGCCATCATACTGACTAGAGCTAAAAGAAACCACAAGATACGAAGCCTTGTCACATTTGCCATGCTCAGCACTCGTAGACGGAAAAGTTGTCCCTTTGTAGGCTGATGATGGTGTGGCACCTCAACTTTGTCGGCGTATGCATTTGAAGAGCTGGCAATTTCGCGTGGATACTCTTCATGCTGAATATGTCCAATTTCTGGATCCTCGTCATACTCTTGTTTTTGATAGCGTTGTCCATATTGATCATGCTCTGCTATGCTGGTCCTTTCTAGGTCAAGGACATGGCTGTGGACAGAGCTTGGTGTTGGAGACCTAGCACCATGTGCAGGTCCCTGTTGGTACTGTTGTTGCGAGTGGTAGTAGTTGTCTGATTGCTCATGCGCATATTCTTCAGGAAAATGCTGTCCTTCATGATAATGTTGGTGGAAGGACGGTGGAGTATCTAGTGAAGCGCTGTCACGAGGGAACTGTGACATAATGGCTAATGGAGGAGCGAGAGAATGAGAAGTGATCAACCGCAATTGAAGAGCAAGAAAGAGAAGGAAAGAAATGGAAGAGATGGAAAAGTACTGCGTTGGTCCTCTTTTGAAATGGTTTGTTTTTCAACTTTTATTTTAAAATACAGCTACGCACTGTCCTTCGTTTAAAAGTATAAAAAATAAAAATAAAAAAAAAAGTAATGAGTGAATGAGACGAAGGACGAAGGGGTGGATGACAGAAATGAATGATCGGAGACAATCAATGACAACATTAGCATATGGAAGAAAGACCTGTCCAAACTAAGCTTACTTTGCTCGGTATGTTTACATGCCCTGATTTTAAGGAGGAAGCATACGTTTGAGAAAAAACAGTATGAAATTGTATGCAATCAGGCCGCATAGCGCTAGACGATGGACTTTGTTAAAAAGATGCCAGGAAAAACATGGGCGTGATAGACAGATATTATCTATTTGTATGACTCTCAAAGGTAAAGACATAGTTTTTCTGTCTGGAATCTTGGATTGCCATGAAGATTGGAAGCAGGAGCAAGAGCCCAGCGCACTAGTCTCGTACTTTCACTATTAATTTTATTTGTCTTAGCGTTTCACCAAAGACCAATCATTTTGAATGTGTTGAAGTGACATTAAGAATTATATTTTGGGTGCCATAGACTATACAGATTCCACACAACGCACAGCCACGACCTTTTTCTTTTTTTTCTGTCGGCTTTTAGATACAAGCAATTATTGTCATATTTACATTCATTCATATACAACTTCATTATAAATAGCTCTTTATTCATTCTACATCTTGCTGGAGAACAGCTTTGAATTAAGTGGCGTGCTGAGTGTTACAGAGGGGCGTGACCAAAAGTCCAATATCGCGCATTTTCCTTCCATTCATTCCATTGGAAGACTTGTGGTGCTCTTGGCGAAAACAACGACACAACACAAACGAACACTAACAGAAAAAAAAAGAAGACCAGGAAGAAAGGAAAGACAGTAGTAGGCTCGAGTCACAATAAAAAGAGCGCAGACTAAGGAGATCTTCCTTCTTTCTCTCTCTCTTTTTCTTCATCTTCTTCCTTCTCTAGCACCCTTCCTCTAATCTATTCCCTCATTTCGAAATAAATAAAAAAATATAATGGAGGCTCCTCTTCCCCCTGGATGGTAAGGGATTCCAGACCATAAAGTCTAAATATTCTTTAACAATTTGAACGAGATGGGATGGGATTGAGATGAACTCCTTCATTTGAATTAACTCGAACCATTCTTTTTTTTTTTTTCCTCTTCCTCTTGCCTGCAGGATCGCACAGTATGACGCAACCCATCAACGAAACTTTTACGTTGGTAAGGTTCTTCCTCCAGACTTGCAGTCGGAGACGAATAAGTGTTAAACAATGTTTCAATTCAATTAATCAAATGCCATTGTCTTTACTTTATGTAGACACTGCAACTGGCAAATCGCAATGGGATCATCCTGGTCCTGCTGGCGCCCACAATCCGCCTGCATACGCTCCTCCAGCTGCCGCTAAGGTAGACATGCCTTCTCCATCAACTAGCTCCGCGCATGACAAAGGTATTTATCAGGCCGCTCCTTATGGTGGACCTCCTCATCCAGGTGCCTATGGCTCTCATCCACCACCTGGGGCCTATGGTGCACACTCACCTGCTCCTTACCCTCCTACTTCCCACGCACCGTATGGGGGTCCTCCTGCTCCTCATGGTGCTCCATCTCCATATGGCGCACACGCACCTGCGCCCTATGGTTCACCTGCCACGCCATACCCTTCCAGTCCATACCCAGCTCCTTATGGTGCGTCTTCCCCCTATGGCGCACCCTCACCCTATGGCGCGCATCCGCCTCCACCCCAAGCAGCCTCCTATGGAGGTCACCATTCTACTACCCCTGCTTCTTCATCCGCTCTTAACCTTCCTCGTCTCCCCGGACCTGCTGGCAATTTGGTAGCAGGTGCTGCTGCATTGTTGATGGGTGGTGCTGCGGGTGGTGCCATGGCAGCAACTCACAAACCCCATGGTGGTGGGGCCTTTTCTGTTCCTGGCTTGTTTGGTAATTCAGGTCATAAAGGCAAACATTATAAGCACTCGAAACATCAAAAACATTACAAACATTCCAACTATGGCCGCCACAAGCATCACGTAAGTTTTTTTTTTTTTTTTTTTTTTTTTGGTCTAAAGAATTGCAAGTGAACGAGCAATCTTAATAACAAAGTCCTTTTATTATTATTGAATAGAAATAAGGACCTTACTCGTTCGTCTATCATCAGATGCCCTGCTTCTTTTGCCTTCCATACCTACTTGATTATAAACACAATAAAATCTATACTGTATTTTTATGAGGTGTCTTCCAATCACACATTTAAAAAGGCTTTGAATGAGACCTTTTTGCGTAGCTGGCTTTAATTCACTTTAATGTAGACCGATTGAGTAATATTTATGGCCGAGTCTTGCTTTTGCTTCCACGATCATGGCTTCTACTGCTACTACTACTACTACTACTACTACTACTACCACTACTATTACTATTACCATTGGTATCGCTGCTGTTGTTACCATTGCTGTGCCTGCGGTCATTATTACTAGCGTTCGTATCAGTTTTAACATCATTGCTCTTAACATGAGTTATCTTGTTTAAATGGCGACGGTGATTACTACGAGCTGCTGCAGATGAAGAAGCATTCTTGATACGATATGCCGCCATGACTTGATTCCATACACTCTGCATATGTGTTGTAGCACCCCTTACTAACGTGAATGCATCACCACGAACGACACTGTTCTTGATCCGCTCTAACCCACGTCTTTGCGAGCCATTTGTCCAAGAATCTACATACATTTTTGATACGCGATAGGTAGGCGAGAAGGTCCTATACAAAAACGCTGTTGTCGCGTTCATGGAATGGATCAGACGCTCTTGAACTACAGTGGTGGCAGAGTTGAAGACGGCTGGAGAAAGTGAGATGAGAGCAGCAAAAATGGATGTCGTAGCAACAGTATCAGTGGCAGTGGTAGTAGGGGTAGAGATAGGGAAACAGGTTTTGGTGATGTTGGATGATGATACAGTGCCATCGTTGTTATGGTTAGATGTTTTATTATGGTCGGTTTGAACATGATGGATATTGTGGTTTGTATCGGCATTAGTATTGCTCTGGGTACTAGTGACGTTGATTTTAGCGTTAGTGTTGGTATTAATATTGGCAGTAGCACCGGTACATTCAGAAACATGGGTACTTTTTGAGGTTGCCGAGATCCTTGTAGAGGGTGCAGCGGAAGCATCTGTGCCACCTACTGAATTAGTTAAAGTCTGTTGTTCCCCGACCAATGGATTCGTGAGTCCTGTTTTAACCTCGCTGTGTGCGACACTTGCCGGAGCAGTCACCAAACCAACATTGGCAGGGTTTGTGGGTGAATTTGAGGAGTTTGATCCCGAAGTCGTGAAGGAGGTCATTCTTCCATCTTCTGCATGGTTCTCATTCCTCGATATATAGTATGAATCTGACATTGATGCTGTTGATACTATGCTTTTGAAAGACATACTCCTTCCCGATAGATATCCGTAGTGTGGCCTGGTTGTGAATATATTGGTAGGGCCCTCAATCTCTTCTGCACCCTGACTGCATCTTGTCCTTTTAAAAATAACTGAAATGGAACAGAAAAACAAAAAAGTTAGAAAAGCGAACAGAGAAAACGGTGCACCTCATTCATTTACAAAAGGGCGATAAGGATTCGAACAGTTTCTTCTCCTTCCCTCTCCCTCTTACCTCCACTTGCATACTTAAAGTCTTTGGATACTCCCAATGTTATGGGAAAATCTTTTGGATTTGGCTGCTGATGATCGTGATTTATTAGTTTGTCATCCTCCTGTGTAATAACAAAGGAAGGAGAAATCGTAGGAGAGCTCATGGATGATATATGGATGAAACACTTGAGCCAGTCAACTGTTTCTTGCGGTTGAATATCAAGAAGCGATCTGCAACAACACTTATTCTTGGTATGAAGTGAATGTGCTGAATAGCAGGATGTTTGTTTGGAAAGTAATGCAATGGTAGAAGAACCAGGTGTTGTAACGATAATTGAGGGATATGATGATGAAGGGAAAGGAGAAGCAACAGTCGGGATAAGACGCGATTGCTGATGCTGTTGTTGAATGTGATGCAACGGTGAAAGGGAGCTATCGAACGTAGTACTGCCTGTCTCTGTATCCATGGCAAGATTCCAAAGAAGAGGGTCAACAAGTCGCACCACCTCGTACCAGCTTTGCATTGCAGCAGTAACCATAGTACAGGAAATATACGGGGCAAAAGGGAGAGAGAAAAATAAATAAATAAGAAAAGAAAGGATGGAATGATGTAATTGAAGGAATGGAATGAGAAAAAGAAATGGGCCGTCAACGAAAGGTGAGGTGTGAGTGGGAGGACAGAAACATAAGCACACATAAGCACAATTACAAGGAAGGAAAAAAAGTGAAAAGAATGAGATAAGACTTTTTTTTTTTTTTTTTTCCTTCGCGAATATTCATTCGCCCAAAGGTGGCCTGACCGCAGTGTAAGGAAAGGAATAAAAAAAAAGTGTTTACTTGCTCATTCAACTCTAAACTTGGGGCTGTCTATGAATGAATTGATCTTGGCCTCAACTTGTACGCGCTTGTCTTGCGCCTGTCTCTTGATGGCTTTGTTAATCCGTTGGAGCCGTGTACCTATCAGGCGGCGCATAATTGCTCTTGACTTTGATCCTTCAGGATCGTACTCTCGGGCGACCATGACCAGCCAGGCAAGACACATGATCAAACTCACCCCCATACCCCCTATGATTTCAAATAACACAAGACATTCCATCTCGCGCATGTCCACAGCACCCTCCGTTATCGACATTGGCACGACTGCTGCTGCTGCTGCCGTTGCTGTTGTTGTTGCTACCAAACTTGATGAGAAAGAAATGTTCCGAATGATAAATTTGAAAACTTCCACTTCGCACGCTACTGGCCAAGAGCTACATAACATCGTTGCGTAAAATGCTCGAATATTCAGCAATGGATTGTTTTCTCCTACATGCGCATGTCCAAAAGCTTTGATGCTACTGGAATCTGCGCTTATAATAGGACCAAGATTTGCCATCAGATCTGGGTCGATCGAAATATTCAGTGTCGTTGTTGTTTTACAAGCCTTATAGGCTGCTGTTGCTGCCGAGGGCGCAGTCAATCCTACTTCTCCTTTCAGACTGGTTGAAAATTTTGTGAAAAACAATCGATGCACATCCAAGAGTTGCGTCATTACTAACCAGATGTTGAAGAGTGTCCTGCATTGGGATGGTGTTCCAAACTTTTGGACCAAAGAGACACCCTGAATATGTAAAAGAAGCCATCCACATTGGATCAAATAAGTGGCCAAGGCAAGAGCATGAGGATGTGTTTCAGCTATTCCAGAAATGGTCAACAATAGACTGGCAAGAAAACATCCTGCAGCGTAAGGCAATAGTGGAACCTATCCAGAGTAAACAACAACAGCGGCTTTTTCTGTAAAAAAATGCAATTCATACTTCTTATCGAAACCGCAATCTTGTTTTTATATCGTGCTATTTTTGAGGGTTGATGGTTTACCGAGCTGTCATCTTTTTGGATATGAGTAAGTGTCAACAGCATATTGAATACTCTGTTTGCAGGTCTAGCGTTTTATAGAGTATTCGGATGTGGAGATGTGGTTTATAGTTTTATCAAAAAGGAAATAACAACAAAAGAAGAGAGGGAGCAAAAATGTATAGCTAGAGATGATGGAGCAAAGAAAGAAAGATAAAGAATGAAGCGAATTGATCGGAAGAAAAGATAAAGTACAAAAAGTAAGCCTGTTGATGATGTAGCTATTCTCTTGTTGGGAAAGAGAGAGAAGTAAAAAGAAAAAAGGAACAGAGGTCATTGCCAAATTGTTACAGTATTTGGTATTTGTCAAAGAACTGAATTCAACCTGAAGAGAAAGATATGCAACGACATTTATGATGAATATCCCAACATCTCCGTGATCAACAGCAGGACAGTAGCAACAAAGCATGTGTTTAACTTCAAGACGTAACTACAGAAAAATACAGTAGAATACCCTTCTGCCATTGTGCAATTGGTCAGCTGCGTATGAATGAACATTTGTTTTATTTGTCGCGTGTTCGAAATACGAAAGATTTTTTTTTTTTTTTTTTTTTTTTTCCCTCAATGGTGATTATGGGCGAATTCAGTAAATGTGTATAACAACCATCTTCAGCATATACAAAAGCTTTCTCCTTAAGAGATCCAAACACGCTCCATAACACCTTTAGTTGTCTGGTACGCTCTCAAGGCTTCTGCTCCGAGATCTTTGCCAATGCCACTCTCCTTTACTCCACCAAAAGGCACGTGGGTCATAAGCAAGTTATAGCAGTTGACCCATGTCACTCCTGCCTCAAGCTCCTGAACGCAGCGTTCTGCCTTGCTTGCATCTCTGGTCCATACACCTGATGCCAAGCCATAAGGCGTGGCATTTGCACGCTCCAAGGCTTCCTCAATCGTTTTGAAAGGCTTCATCACCGAAAGGACCGGGCCAAAAATCTCTTCCTTGGAAATAATTGATGAATCATCAACGTTACGGAAAATAGTAGGCTCGATAAAGTAGCCTTTATCGCCATATCGCTTGCCTCCATGGAATAGTTCGGCCTTGCCCTCACTCTTTCCCTTCTCAATAAGGCCCATAACCCTATCAAACTGCACACGATCCACCACAGTACCAAAATCGTATGCTTCGTCTAGCGAGTTGCCAATCTTTACTTTCTCGATACGGGCCTTGAGTTTGGCCAAAAAGTCCTTCTCGATACCTTCCTCCAAGAAGAGTCTTGAGCCTGCGCAGCAATTCTGGCCCATATTGGAATAGATACCTCCAAAGACTTCTTCAACAGCCTTGTCCAAATCAGCATCCGCAAAGATGATTACCGGACTCTTTCCGCCGAGTTCAAGGGTGACAGGCTTCAAATTGCTCTCGGCAGATGCTGCCATAACTTTGCGGCCCACATTGCCTGAGCCTGTGAAGCTACATTTGTTGATACCCTTGTGGTTAATGATCGCTGCTCCGACAGCATCCCCACCAGGTAAGACATTGAAAACTCCTGGAGGCAGATCTGTGTGATCTGCGATGAGCTTCCCAAGCACGAGCGAGGAAAGTGGGGTCTGTGGCGCTGGCTTGAGAATGATGGTATTGCCACAGGCTAGAGCTGGGGCAATCTTCCAAGCGGCCAACATAAGTGGATAGTTGAATGCAGTGATCAACCCACAAACGCCGACGGGCTTTTTAATAGTGTAGGTTTTATAGTTCTCCTCAGTTGGGTAGCTATCTCCGTGGATCTTGTCAGCATGACCTGCGAAGTAGCGGAAACACTCGATCGAATCTTCGATATCGATCTTGGCTTCCCCAATCGGCTTACCACAGGCAGCCTCAAGGACCGTCAACTCCCACATATTTTTCTCAATGGCTGAAGCAATATCGAGAAGGACGTTGCGACGTTTACGGCCCGTAAAGTTTTTCCATGGACCCTTGAGTGCGGCTTGTGCAGACTTGACGGCTACATCAACATCCTCAGGGCTGGCCTCTTGAACGGTCTCAAGCAGCTCCTCTGTGCATGGGTTGAAGAGCTGACGTTGAGCAGGTGAGCTTGCAACTGTGGGCTGGAACTTGCCATTAATGAAGGGACCAATAAAACGTGGGAACGAAACTTTGCCTTTGGAAGTTTGAATGGAAAACATGGTTGGATGAGGCAGCAAAGTTTGAAAGAAATGTAAAAAGTAAGGAAACAATTGAAATGACAGTGAAGGAAGAGTTGAAAAAGAGGAGAAGAACCAGGGTCTATTCGACATGGGCGTGTGAACGTTGGTTCGGTCTTGAATACCACAGCAGTAGAGGACCAAGTTTTGATCCATTACAAGCCACATACCACTAACGAAAGAGTTCTTTTATTGGTCACGACGACTCTTTCAACCCTACTGTTGTTTCGTCTACATTGCCGCAAATGACCTCAATTAAACGAATGAAGGTAAAAAAGAAGAGAAGGACAAGAGCGGCCATATCAATACATCTTGTGAAGCGTTCGTTTTGGTCTGACATTTATTATTATTATTTTTGGAAAAGGGAATCTCGATTTCGAGACCCATTATATATGGTAATTCAGCAACACCATTACATGGGAAGAAGGTCGGGGACTCTGACCATACACATCGCTGGACTATTTCTGTAAGGGGCGTCAATAATGAAGACATTTCATATTTCGTTCGCAAAGTCGCCTTCAAGTTACACGACACATATGAAAATCCTAACAGAGGTAATAAAACAAATCCAAAAAAAAAGACAAATAAACGGGATAAGCTGACATGTCAAAGGAAATGAAAGTTATTAAGGAGGGGACCCAAACTTGAAATGACTTGTTGGACTGACTAAAAGCGCGTTTTTTTTTTTTTTTTTTTTTTTTTGGATATAGTGGTCGAAAAACCACCATTCGAGATTTCAGAGACTGGATGGGGTGAATTTGACATTATTATCAAAATACACTTCAACCCAATAAGCGGAGAGAAGCCCCTTACACTTTATCATCATTTAAAGTTACATCCATACGAAGAGGACAGCCTAGGCAACCCTTGGCCAAAGCAGAAACCGGTGACTAGTTATTCCTATGATGAAGTTGTAGGTCCTTCTCATTTTTTTAAAGAGTCACTTTTTCTTCAAAAAAAAAAAAAAAAAAAAAAAAAATCAGTTCAGGAAGTGGAGCTAATGGGCGCAACACACTTATTTTTCCTTAGGTTTTCAATGAGCCAATTGACACTTTCTATACATTGTTGCAAGAAAATCAGACTTCCAACATTCCACTCAAAAAGACACCGCATCATCAATTTAGTCTCCAAGCCGAGCAAGAGGAGCTTGAGCGGATTGATAAAGCGTTACAAACTACAGCACAAGAAATCGCAAAGCATCGGGAGCGATGTAGACGGCTTGAGGCAGAGCTCTCGGTAAAATAAGATCAAGTCATATCAAATCAAACAGGACCAAACGCAATAGTTTTGGGTATGACGGTCATATCCTCAAGATTCGTCTCCATCAATCATGTATAATACAATAAATGAAAATTTAATTTTTTTTATTTTTTATTTTTTATTTTTTATATAATGCTTCTATCTATTTACTATGATATATTTTTGCTTATGCGTTCCTAGCAACATCGCAACGAACCAATCTATCGCCATCATATCCATGTCTCTCTAGGTCTCGACGTGTCTCGATTGGATCCTCTAATGTCTGTTCCAAAAAGAAATTGAAAAAGCCCTCCAAAGTCAAGTAGCCCTTGGCATCCTTTCCAAACTGAATACCCATCTGAGTTAGGAAGGCAGTAGGCGGACGACTTCCATTGGTTCTATATACAAAATCCGACAGCTCTGTAGGTGAAAGACTCCCGTCACGATCCTTATCAAATGAGTTGAAAATAGCTGTCAAAGCTGCCTTTAATGGTGCCGATAATTCTTTGGCGTTATCTAACAGAGGTGCTGCATCTGACATGGTTGAACCATATCCATCCTGCAGTGCATGAATTTCCTTCGTAAGTTCTAAATTAAAAATAGAGAAACACGATAAGCTTTTTATTTATTTGTAGAGTATGGACAACAAGACCTGAATAACAAAGACTGACCTTTGATGGGTTCATAGTTGGGATCTACCATGCTGCCAATTTCCAAGAGTGAAAGAGCATCCTCAAGTTCGTTCAGTACGTAAAGAGTGAATCCGAGCAAATGATAGCAACCAGCATGGCCTGGAAAGTTATCTATCGGGCATCAAATATCAATAATTAGAAAGAAACAAAAGTTAATCGCCGTAAGTCATGTTCATAAAATGCCTACCTCCACCTATACGACAATAACAGCAAACGACCTCTTTTCAGGACAGACACTTAGTAAAAGTCCTTCCTACCTAGAATTCCGACCATTAATTGTGCAGCCTTGCTCAAGGACTCGATCTCGCCAGAAGCTTGGAAGCCTCTCAAAAGTTCCTGTGCTTCCTCATAATCTTTTTCCGACTGTGCAATCTGAGAATCACCGTCCTTGTTCATTTTTGATATTGCCTGGTGTCTCTCCTTATAATATTCACGCCAATCTGTTGGTTCAGACTTATTTTGTTCGCCCAAATCCAATCCTGCAGAGTTTAGAATCGATGTGATGGTGAATCTGTCTCCAAAATCATCAATTGCTTTGCTAATATTTGTCATACAAATATATCGAAGAAAAAATAAAAAGAATAAGAAAGAAAGTCCTGTTGCTACAAAAAAAAAAAAAAAAAAAAAATGTTTTGATATCATGAAAAGGGCAGTTCAACTGTAAAGACAAACGTACTGCTCCCAAACTGTTGGTTGGTTGATTTCCTTGTATAGCCTCTTGGATGTAGCACCAAGGTTGACCATATCTAATGGCTCAAGGTATGAAACCAAGATCTCAATCAGGTCTTCGGTGAGGGTATCGAATGTCTTGTTTGAACTTGACATGACTAAAGTAAGTGTCACTGATGAAAAGACGATGCTACGTGATGCAATAAGTAATGGTTCTTTTTTTTTTTTTTTTTTTTGTAAACAATGTGGCTTACTCTTCCTAGCAATCTTAAAAACGCGTCCAGTCCTAGCCATTTCTCTTTTTCTTTCATCTGTCCTCCTTTGCCACTTGTATCCATGCCTTAGTTGGACTATCGTTCCACAAGCTTGAAACTGTACCTTGCGTTTGATCTAGGAAATAATCAAGGAGGAAAACAATAATGACGAAGCTAAAGGTCGACGAGATCAGTATCCAAGTCAGAGCCAAAGTAGTAAATAGGAGATAGGATTAGAAGAATATTGCCCCTGTCCAACTTCATGATCTCAATTTAAACCGTCTTTAATCTTAAGAAATCGGAAAAAGTACTCCTTGGCTTTTTGAGGGTCTATTTATAATTGACCTTGCACTCGCTTTTAATTTCCTGAGATCGTCAATTGGAAAATGGGAATCTTCAGAGATGATTGTGTTTCTCCTTTTTTGATACTTGCTAAACTTCCTTTTTGCCTCCTCAGTTTGGGAAGGAACGGCCCAAGGCTCTTTCTGTTCTCATGGTGTAGTCTCATAAAGCTTTAAATACTTTAATGATCTACCTTTTTTCTATTATCTTTTTTTTTTTTTTTTCTCTCATTAACTTTACCCACTGTGCCATCTAAAAGCAAAGACACTCTAAACCTTTTCTCTTATCTGTTAACCATTTGATTAATCAAGCTCCTCGTTGCGACAATGAAAGCAATCTCTGCTACTATCTGTCTATTTGCGGTAGCGTGCCTAACAGCTCATGCCATCCCACAGCAAGGTACTGACTCTTGGCAGTATAAGCTGACAGAAATTTATGTTAACCTTGAAAAAATACTGATCTTTTTTTCTTATTCTTTCTTTCCTTCCTTTCTTCCCTCCTTTCCGTCCTTTCGCCCCTCTGTTTCACCAAAACGGCATTTCTATGCATGTATCCCTTATTAAAATGTGTATCTTAAGAGGGCGAAACTTATTATGCAGCTGCTTTGCAGCGCGAGTGGGATCAGGAAGCTGACACTGTTAGTGAGCTGGAGTACAGACGCATATTCTTGCTGAAGGAATCGGAAATGCAAGTTGCGGAAGATACTTCAGCGGCCAATGGCCCAGACACAGCCGCTAATGTTGCTGCATCGTCGGTCAAGTGCGACAACGGTCTTGAGCAGCTCAAAAACGTTGCTCGAAAACTGCCTGACCAGCTGGCCAAGGATTTGAACAAACTCACTGGCTCTTCCCTTTTAGCTGGGGCCTTGAAGGTCGCGCTCGCTCCTGTTGCTGCCGCCGCTGCAGGATTCAATGAACTCACAGCCTTCGTGGTCTCCGGGATATTTAAAGCCATTGATGCAATTAAAGCTGCACTCAAGCCTTTTGAGGATGTCATCGGCTTCAGGGTTATTATCAAAGCAATGAAGAAAGCTCTTATGGCTCTCGAAAAGCTCGTTGAGATGGTCACTGGATGCAAAAGGAATGGTGGAAAGAGTGGTGGAAAGAAAGGATCTAAACCTATGGCCGAGGCCGGGCTTGAAGCGATGGATGGCTCACAGTGCAATGTCATCGCAGAGATATATCGCGGATTGGTCAAGGACGCTCTTACGAACATGCCCGCTCCCTCTGCTTCCGCCTCCGATGACCAGAAGCGTGTTGCAGCTGGATCTGCTATGCTGTTGGACTTCATGGACAAGTACTCCATCGCTACCTCAAACGATGCCTTGTTGTCATCACGTCCCATCTTCTCTGCTGACTTGTTGGATCAGTATCGTCAGGAGCTCATCAACTTGGGTGAGACTGATGAAGTGAAGGAATTTGCACGCATCAACTTGGCACTTACTATCTCCATGAGTAATGCTCTCGAGGCATGCCTCAAGCTTTCAGCTGATCCCACTGCAGCTATGGAGGCTTGGGATGAAGACTTTGAGACATCCCATGAGGTTGAGGATGAGGTTGTGAATGAAGTTGTGAATGGCGAGCACCAGGAGTTGTAATAGTTGAATCTTAATAGCTTTCGGATAATAAAAAGATATCTTCATATCATCCTATCATTCCAGCCTGCTATCAAAATGATATTTGATACCTGCTAAATCATAAAAGTTGAAGAGACTTAGTGCGGAGTATCCTATGTCTTGGGGTTTTTAAGATGGTAATCAATCGCGATAGAATTAGAGCGACTCACTTCTATTGACTTTCAATGAAGAACGGAATAGCTATTTGGAGGCTATTTGATAAAATATTCAGCACTTCTTTTTCTGAACCCACTTTCCCTCCTCTTTTGCCCTGATGCACACTTTACAAACAATCTTTTCCCATAATACGACAAAACCACACATGGATACCTGGCTCATTATAGGAAATGCCTTTCTGGACATGGTTTTTTTTTTTTTTTTTTTTTTTTTTTTAAAAAAAAATGCGTTCGACTATCTGTTGGCTTGCCATCAGCCAGTGACACTTTACTACATCTTCCTCAAGAGAAGAGGGGCTACATGCCGAAAGAGTAACGCCATGCAAGATCACTCTCTTCAGTTGGTGATGGTCCTGAAGATCCTTTTTTTTCTGTCCCTAATTGCACTCACATCACGGTAGCGCTGTACGGCCACATGTCGCGTTGTGATCAGCACAACAAAGAGTGGCTCGTGCTCAAGTAAAGTTGGTTGGTTATATATATTGATAGCTGCTAGTGATAATGCTATGACCGATACTTGAGTACGAGATAAAAAAGACACCTTGAATTGACGGCCCTAAGAGATTGGTTTGTTAACCGTCACTCAATAAGATGCATAATCAAAATTAGGCATTTTACCTATATGATCAGCTCCCGTAGTTGTTCGTTTGAATATCATTGTTTCTTGTATGGTTGTATAAGGTCTCCATGCCAAGTCCACCACACTTGCCCTGAGCAGTATCGGATGTATATTCTCCATTCGAGTATGTTCTCGTCCAAGTTATTATTCATAACAGTGCCACTTGTCAGATGCACAAGTCTATAGAGATCAGCTCGGACAGGTCTATGGAAAAGAGAACAAACAAAGTGTTTGTATATCGATATTTGTCCCACTTACTTCTCGAGGCTCAAAGCCTGCTCTTATTGGGGGCGAAAAAAACAATATCAAGTAGTGGAGCAAAGATGCCGTCGGATGTTCTATGAACTGCTATTGTGTAAATCCGTTTCTTTCTTTCTTTTTTTCTTTGCAAAAAAAAAAAAAAAAAAAAAAAAAAGATAGAAGAGGACTGACCCAATGTTCCAATAAGGCAGAAAGGATGGGGTGGGAGTATGGATAGCCAAGGTAGGAGGTAAACAGATTAGACATAATAGAAAGATAGAGTAGACAATAGAGACATGCACTCCCATCTACAAAAGGAAAGGATATGTAGGATTCATGGGTTGAAATGGCTCATCGATCTCTTCAGGTGTAGCAGTGCATCTAATAAAGCTGTTAGGCTTCTTCAAGGTTACCTTACTCAATGCATACACCAAAAGAGATATATGGCATGAAGCTCACTAACCCGGCATCAGGTTGTACCTCGTACTAGCTTCTGTCCTAAGCAATAAGGAAGTTCGACTCTTCAACCGAACAGAGCGTATATGTGGAGCAGGAGCCATCAAGTTTCACTCACACTCGCATATTCTCTTTGTTTCTTTCATAGAAGCAGTACGCAAGCCATCCCTTTGTTTTTGGACCATTGCTGCTGCTATACCCCCCTGATGGCTAAATGCTGCCGCATCTGGTTCTCTGGTCGTCGAATGAGTGCCATCGCATGCCCTTGTGTCCTTTGTGAGCTGCAGAGGCGTTTTCATTTCTCTTTTCATTTTATTTTATTTTTTTTTATTTTTTTTTTTTTTACAAATAAAGAGTTACGTATATAATCTTGGAGCCACTTCACATACCACTGCTACCATCTTTCATGGACACAATCCATACATACTATGAAGTATCCTTGACCAGGCCTCCCTGGCAGCTCTCTGAGCTCTTAACCAGGGCTAGGAGTGAAGGGAATCGAGTATTCCAAAACTTTTTTTTTTTTTCATTTGTCTGTACAAGCCTATTAGAAAAAGCTGTTTGGTGGCAAAAAGCAAAAATAAAATAAAATAAAATAAAATAAAATAAATAAATAAAAGAAAACAAAAGTGAGACACCACTCAGTGACATTCATATCCCTTACAAGGATGCTAAAAGGCACATGCAAAATGTTGACAGCGAATGTCAGCACTTATCGGATGTTCATCCGTCTGTGATGTGACCTAATACTTTCGAAGACTGATGATTCTTCTCATCCATCACCACTCAGCATTTAGAGATAAGGGGTTCTCCTTCTTCCTTCTTTTTCTGTCAAGAGTATGAAGCGTATCAAGGCTTGGGACTCACAAACCTACTGCACTTTTAAGGGGCCATATAATTGGCAATACTGCACCACTACTGTATTCACTCGTTATTATCGCCAAAGTTTGCCTCTTTAGGCGGGACAACATGAGGCACTTCCATCAAAAGCTATTGTTTTTATTTGTCAATAGTCGGAAAAGACATTGAGGATCGAGCCAAGGTATGCTTGACGCACTCATCTGCGGTTTCTATAGGATTGAGGACGCTGATTTGTTAAAAACGGGTGAATATTGACGGGGTCTCGAATAAAGAGTCACCAACAATCATGTCGGGTTGATTCCATGAGGGCATCCTTCCTATTTCCTTGTAGTTTTTGGACTGACTAGAATAGCGCTTCTATTCGTGTATTATTTGGGGAGGGTCGTCTAGTCTCGCGGCGAACAATCGTGGTGGCATCGACACCAACCAGTTTCTTGGCTTATTGAGAGTTAGGCCTGGTTGTGGTGAGTTCTGGAGGATTGCGAACTGTGGAATGGGAATTCTATCTCAGGTGAATGTCCTTTTTTTTTTTTTTCTATTTTTCCACTTGAATCTTTTTACTTGCCACTCCTTTTTAATTTCTATAATATGCTCTCCTCAGTTTGATAGAGAACATCGCATTAGACCCTTTTTGTTCTTACAAAAATGCTAAGCCTATGCCAGCTGTTTTTTTTTTTTTTTTTTTTATATATATATATTAAATACTTTGATCAAACTTTTTTTCTCTTTCTTTCATTAGCATCTCCACTACATTATATGAACCAAAGACACTCCAAACCTTTTCGCCTCTGACTTACCAGCCATCTAGTCAATTGAGTATCTCATTGTGACAATGAAAGCTATCATTGCTTCCATCTGCCTTGTTGCAGCAGTTTGCCTTACAGCGCATGCAGTCCCACAGCAAGGTACCGTTGGTATAATAGTAGGATAGGACTAATAAAAAGAGAATGCTAACCCCTTTTTCTCCTCTCTTCTGTTCTACTGTTATGGCATTTCTATGTATACAACCCTTATCACAACACATGTTCTTAGAGGGACAAACTTATTATGCAGCTGAATTGCAGCATGAGTGGGGTCAGGGGGCCGACACAGTTAGTGAGCTGGAGTTTAGACGCATGTTCTTGCTGAAGGAATCGGGAGTGCAAGTTGCGGATGACATCTCGGTCGTCAGTGATCCAGACACAGCCGCTAATGTTGTAGCGCCCGAGTGTGACAACGCTTTTGCGCAGCTCAAAAAGTTTGCTCAGACCTTGCCTGACCAGTTGGCCAGGGATTTGGGCAGAATCCCTGGTGCTTCCATTTTAGTTGGAATATTGAGGATCGCCCTTGCTCCCATTGCTGCCATTTCTTCAGGACTCAATTCACTCACAGCAGGCGTGGTCCGTGCAATTCGCATAGTCATTGGTTCGATTAAGCTTGCAATCAGGCCTTTCGAGTGGATTCCAGGTATCAGGGGTATTGTTAAAAGGGTGAGAGACCTTCTTACAAACCTCGAGAAGCTTATTGATGCAGTCACTGGATGTAAAAGGTCCATGTCCCAGACTGAAAACGAGACTGAAGCGGTGGGTTCACAGTGTTATATCCTCGCAGATGTGTATCGCGGATTGATCAAGGACGCTCTTACGAACATGCCCGCTCCCTCTGCTTCCGCCTCCGATGACCAGAAGCGTGTTGCAGCTGGATCTGCTATGCTGTTGGACTTCATGGACAAGTACTCCATCGCTACCTCAAACGATGCCTTGTTGTCATCACGTCCCATCTTCTCTGCTGACTTGTTGGATCAGTATCGTCAGGAGCTCATCAACTTGGGTGAGACTGATGAAGTGAAGGAATTTGCACGCATCAACTTGGCACTTACTATCTCCATGAGTAATGCTCTCGAGGCATGCCTCAAGCTTTCAGCTGATCCCACTGCAGCTATGGAGGCTTGGGATGAAGACTTTGAGACATCCCATGAGGTTGAGGATGAGGTTGTGAATGAAGTTGTGAATGGCGAGCACCAGGAGTTGTAATAGTTGAATCTTAATAGCTTTCGGATAATAAAAAGATATCTTCATATCATCCTATCATTCCAGCCTGCTATCAAAATGATATTTGATACCTGCTAAATCATAAAAGTTGAAGAGACTTAGTGCGGAGTATCCTATGTCTTGGGGTTTTTAAGATGGTAATCAATCGCGATAGAATTAGAGCGACTCACTTCTATTGACTTTCAATGAAGAACGGAATAGCTATTTGGAGGCTATTTGATAAAATATTCAGCACTTCTTTTTCTGAACCCACTTTCCCTCCTCTTTTGCCCTGATGCACACTTTACAAACAATCTTTTCCCATAATACGACAAAACCACACATGGATACCTGGCTCATTATAGGAAATGCCTTTCTGGACATGGTTTTTTTTTTTTTTTTTTTTTTTTTTTTAAAAAAAAAATGCGTTCGACTATCTGTTGGCTTGCCATCAGCCAGTGACACTTTACTACATCTTCCTCAAGAGAAGAGGGGCTACATGCCGAAAGAGTAACGCCATGCAAGATCACTCTCTTCAGTTGGTGATGGTCCTGAAGATCCTTTTTTTTCTGTCCCTAATTGCACTCACATCACGGTAGCGCTGTACGGCCACATGTCGCG